TTGTTGAGGCGCAGCGTCGGCGGCGACGACGTCAGCACCTCGTCGGTCCACTCGACCAGAATCGTCACGCGGTCGCCCGCGCCGTACGCGCCCGCGGCGCCGCCCACGCCGTCGGACGAATCGTAGGTCACGGACTTGACGGCCGTGGGGCGGCTCCGGGACCCGTCGACGACCGTGTAGCCCGTCGAGTTGTGGAGCGCGACGTTCGACGCCGCCGGAGACGACAGCGGGCTCCCGAGCGACTTGTCCGCGGCCGCGGCGAGGTAGAGCCGCGGGTCCGCGGCGACGGACGGCGCCGCCGACGACAGGAGGATGCGCCCCCGCCCGCCGAAGGCGCCGTCCGTGTAGCCGTCGTTGATCTCGCTCTGCGACGCGGGGATGCCCAGGCGCGAACTCACGTCCGCGACGCGGACGACGTACTCGAAAAAAATCGTCCGCGACGCGTTGCCGCCGCTGTAGACGGCCTCGCGGTCCCGGCCGGCGTCGATGGTCAGCGTCGGCGCGCCGAAGACCTGGACGGGCTTGTTGTAGGTCACGGAGACCGTGACGACGTCGTCGACGCGCGTCGTGTTGCCCTTGTGGACGGGCTTGCCCGCCGACGTCGTCCGGTTCGCGACGCCGTAGGCGATGATCTCCGGGTAGCGCCCGTCGATCTTGATCTTGCTCAGGTTCGCCAGGCTCTTGTGCCGGCGCACGTCGGACAAATCTAAATCCGCGTCGACGAGCGGGTCGTCGCTCAGGCGCCGCACGTAGCCGTTCGACGACGACACGCCTAAACTGGAGTCGCCCCAGACGTCGAAGCGGGCGTTGTCGTCGTCCTCGACGACCGTGTAGCGGAACGTGAGCACCTTCGTGCCCGTGCCGGAGTAGTAACTCGCGAACGTCTCCGCGCCGATGCCGGAGTCGAGGCCGAGCACGGGCGGGTAGACCTCCGGGATCGCGACGGCCATGTCGAAGGCGATCTCGAGGAAGATCTCGTCGCCGGCGTAGTAGGTGCCGTTCGGCGAGATGGGGCGCACGCCGTAGCTCGCGTTGATTTTTGGCCGCGCGTTGTCCAGAATCACGCCCGCCTTCTCGACGGCGCTCGCGTTGATGCTCGCGATCGCCGTCGTCGTCGGCGTCGCCGCGCGCCGGTAGACGGCGGCGCCGCCGGGCGTCAACAACACCGTGCGGTTCGGCACGGCCACGGGTCGGCCGCGCGAGTCCTGGTCCGCGAGGACGTAGTACTCGAAGACCTGGGCAGCACAAGAGTGATTCAACGTCGCTTCAACGTGAGTATTCCGCGCGCGCGCGTTCCGATAAAAGCATCTACGCTTCGAGACCGTTCCGAGAGATGATCGCTCGTCCAAAAATCAGCCAAAACGAGCGGAAAACGGCCGAGATATGAGCCTTTGAAGTTGGGAATTTCGCTCTCTTGTGCTGCCCTGTCGAAGACGAGCGTCGGGCCGCCCGATCCCGACGCGTAGGTCGCGTAGGACGTCGTGCCGTAGTCGACGGGCTCCGGCGTCGGCCCCGGCGTCGCGTTGAACGGGTAGGAGCTCGGCTTGGGCGTCGGCGCGAACGTCGGGATGGGCGTCGGCTGCGACGGCTCGATGAGCAGCGGCAAATAGACCGCGGCGCCGACGCCGGTCCCGAGCACGACCTCGACGTCGGCGTCGAAGGTGACGTTGAAGACGAGCGTCGTGCCCGGCGCGTAGATGCCCGGCGTCGAGGGAAAGGTCAGGTTGCACGCGACGATCGTCGGCCGCGCCGTCGACACGGCGTAGGGCGTCGAGTTCGCCAGGGACCCCGGAGCGTTGGCGCCGACGGGCAGCGTCGCGTTGGCCTCGCGGCCGTAGCCGTCCAGACAGGGGTTGCCCCGCACGTCCAACGCCCCGGCGCCGAACGCGTCCAGCAGCGCCGCGTCGTCGCCCTCGCCTGGGCAGCACAAGGGTGATTCAACGTCGCTTCAACGTGAGTGTTTCGCACGCGCGCGTTCCGGAAAAAGCATCCACGCTTCGAGACCGTTCCGAGAGATGATCGCTCGTCCAAAAATCAGCCGAAACGAGTGGAAAACGGCCGAGATCGGAGCCTTTGAAGTTGGGAATTTCGCTCTCTTGTGCTGCCCCGGCCCTCGCGGAACGCGTACGTGAAGACGTGCGTGCGGTAGTAGTCGTAGGTCGTCGTCAGCTTCGCGTAGGCGCCCCGCGTGCCGTTGTTCGCGTTCAGTCGCAGCACGGGCAGCGCGTAGCCGTCGGCCTCGCGCTCGACGCGGCAGTCGCCGTCGAACGTCACCGCGATTTCCACCGCGTCGCCGGAGGTCAGGGTATCGAGGCCGTGGGCGCTGCCGACGGCGCCCGCGGGCGTCGGGGCCGTGGCGCCCGCGAGGACGACGGCGACGCTCGCGACCTTCGGCGGGTCGCCGGACGCCGTGGAGACGACGCCGATCCACGCCTCGCCGAGCGACGTCACGATGTCCGCCTCGACCTGGGCAGCACAAGAGAGATTCAACGTCGCTTCAACGTGAGTGTTCCGCGCGCGCGCGTTCCGGAGAAAGCATCAACGCTTCGAGCGCGCTCCGAGAGATGATCGCTCGTCCAAGAATCAGCCGAAACGAGCGGCGAACGGCCGAGATCGGAGCCTTTGAAGTTGGGAATTTCGCTCTCTTGTGCTGCCCTGGCCTCGACGACGTACGCGTCCGCGCCGTCGCTCTCGACGGCGTTCGCGCCCTTGTCGTAGAGCGCCAGCGCCGGCTGCGTGCCGAAGGCCGCGCCGCCGGCGACGACGTCGCCCGCGGGCGTGATGATGCCCAGGTACGCCGGCGGCCCCGCGGCGACGTCGACGTAGCCGCCCTCGACGCTGATGCCGCTGTCGGCGTGCGTGCCCGTCGACGACGAGTAGAGCCAGAGCGTGAAGGACACGACGTAGCGCTCGCCGACGGCGTTGATGCCGAGGTTCGAGAACGTCACGACGCCCATATCCACGACGGCGACGGCCGCGTCCGCGGAGATGAACGTCGAGGACGTCGGGTTCGACGTCAGCGTCGCGACGATGAGCGACGTCGAGTCCGTGAGCACGGTGTTCGAGCCCGCGTCGGCGATGCGCAATCTCGGCTGCGCCGCGAAGGGCGCGCCGCCCTCGGCGAACTCCGAGAACGGCTCCAGCAGCTCGACGGTCTGGGCCGCGCCGATGTAGATCGTCATGCCCGGGATCTCCGCGCGCTGGCCGCCCGCGAGCGCCACGTCCCCGAAGTCCGCCGCCGTGAAGAGCAGGTAGTAGGGCCCGCCGGCCTCGTTGATGTACAAACCGTCGAACTGCGCCTCGCCGAAGGCGAAGTTCGCCGTCGTCTTCGACGCCGGCAGCAGCTCCGCGCCGGGGTTCGGCGAGTAGCGGCCCAGCTCGCCGTCGTCCAAAATCTTCGCGGTGACGGAGCCCGTGGACCAGTCGGAGACGAGGTTCCCGCCGACGTCGAGCACGTTGATCACGGGCTGCAGCCCGAAGGGCTCGCCGCCCGTGCCGCCCGACGGGTAGCCCGCGACGACGATCTCGTGCGGCGACCCGACGACGACGTCGAAGGCGTCGGAGACGACGAACGCGAAGCCGAAGTTGTCGTCGTCCTCGGCGGTCACGCCGATGGTGTAGGTGCCGACGGTGTCGATGGACACGAGGTCGAAGGCGCAGTAGCCGTCGACGATGGGGATGCGCCGGAACCGCTCGAGCGACGACCCGTTGCGGAACAGGTCCTCCTGGCCGCTCGGCGACGAGGAGACGTCGACGACGCAGGAGCCGTCGAGCGTCGCCGCGACGGCGCCGGAGTCGTCGTAGACGACGGCCGTCGGCTGCGACCCGAAGGCGAGGCCCGCGGTGGCGTCGGCGGGCTGGCGGTACAGCGCGACCGTGTAGACGGCTGTTGCGTGTGGCGTTCTGAGTGCCGCGACCAGCGCCCACCAGCGCCGCCACATGGCGCCGCTGGTTGCTGTGCGCCGGCCGCGCGCGAACGGCGCGCAGGCTACAGCTCCCGGCCGCGCGAACGGCGCGCAGGCTACAGCTCGAGCAGCGGACCGGTACCGAGGCTGCCGACGCCTGCGCGCGAACGGCGCAGGCAGCCAACTCTAGAGTAGCGGACCGCCGAGGCTGCCGAGAATCAACATCGATGACGGGGTCTGCAGAGTAAACCTGTCCGCAGCGAAGCTGGCTGACTTCAACAAAAATTGTGTGGCAAACAGACTGGGTAGCGTATGGCTGCACCCCCGACTGAAGCCGGCGCGCCGGGCCCCCCGCCGCCCCCCGACCATGACCCCGGCGGCGGCGCGGGCGTCGGCGCGCCAGCGGGCGCGCCCGCGCCGCCCGCGCCGCCCGGGTCGCCCGCGAAAGCGCCCCCCTGCGTCCTCCCCATCGACGCCCACGCGGACCGCATCGTCGCGCACGTGCGCGCCCACCCCGTCACGGTCATCCACGGCGAGACGGGCTGCGGCAAGTCGAGCCGCGTGCCCCTCATCCTCCTCGAGGCCATGCCCGAGGCGAAGATGTTCGTGTCGCAGCCGCGGCGCATCGCCGCGCGCGCGCTGTGCGCGCGCGTCCGCGACACGCACTCGGACCCGGACGAGATCGCGCTCCGCCTCGGCCACGGCGTCCGCGACGAGGCCGCGGGCAAGGCGCGGGTCATCTTCGTCACCTGCGGCTACCTCGTGCGCCTCGTCGCGCACCACCCGGAACGGCTCCAGGACCACACGCACGTCGTCATCGACGAGGTCCACGAGCGCACGGTAGACGCGGACGTGCTCTGCCTGCTCTGCCGGCGGCTGCTGGAACTCCGGCCCGAGCTGCGGCTGGTGCTCATGTCCGCGACCTTAGCGGGCGGCCTCTACTGCGACTATTTCAAGTGCCCGCCGCCGATCTTCGTCGGCGCGAAGCGCTTCCCCGTGGACGTCGTCTTCGCCGACGACATCGCGACGGGCGCCGTGTCGCGCGTCGTCGGCCACCGCTTCGGCGGCCGCACGGAGGCCGCCGCTTTGCAGGCCATGCGCCTCGCGAACCCCCAAATCGAGGGCGCGGAACAGCTCCAGCCCTGGGAGCGCAAGCGCAACGAAGTGCAAGAACAGCGGAAGAAGGCCGCGCGGGAGAAGCTCGAGGCCGAGGGCGCCGCGGGGTCGTCCGCGGACGACGCGCTCGAGGACGCGCCGCACGCGGAACTCGGCAAGTTCCAGCACGAATTGGTCGTCGCCGTCTGCTGCGCTCTAGCGCGCGACGCGTCCAAGTCCTGCGCGCTCGTCTTCGTGCCGGGCATGGCGGACATCGGCGACCTCACGGACCGTCTGGAGGCGCGCGGCGGCGCGTACGTCGGCGACGTCGCGGGGACCGCGGCCGAGCTCCGGCGCTTCGAGTGCGTGCCCGTGCACAGCGAGCTGCCCCACGAGGACCAGGCCCGGGCCTTCGCGCCGGCGACGGACGGCCGCTTCAAGGTCGTCCTGGCGACGAACTCCGCGGAGAGCTCCGTGACGTTGCCCGATTGCGACGACGTGCTCGACTTGGGCGCGCACAAGGCCCTGCGCTACGACGCGGCGTCCCACCGCGCCGTGCTCGCGCCGGCCTGGGTGAGCCGCGCGTCGGCGACGCAGCGCGCGGGGCGCACGGGCCGCGTGCGGCCCGGCCGCTGCTGGCGCCTCTACGGGAAAAGACGCTTCGACGACGCGCTGCGGGACCACGAGGTCTCCGAGATCCACCGCCAGCCCTTGGACGCCGTGGTGCTGAACCTGCGGGCCATGATCGACGCGCCCGTGGGGCCGCTCCTGGCGTCGACGCTCGAGCCGCCGAAGACGCGGCACGTCGAGCGCGCGCTCGCCGCGCTCCGCGACGCGGGCCTTTTAGGGGCGCCGGAGCGGTCGGCGAACGCGGCGGCGAGCGCCGAGGGGGCGCTGACGCCCACGGGCGCCTTCGTCGCCGCGCTCGGCGTCGACCTGCGCCTGGGGCGCCTCGTCGCTTTGGGGGTGGCGTTGGGCGTCGGCCCGTTGGCGACGGGCGCGGCGGCCGCGCTGTCGCTGCCCAAGAGCCCCCTGCGGTCCGCGAACCCGCTGGTCCACGGCGACCCGGGCGAGTACAATTCACTCGTCCGCGACGGGCTGTTGGCGCGGGCCGCGTTCGACGGCGGCGACTACTGCGAGCCGGCGGCGCTCATGCGCCTCGAGCGCGCGTACGCGGCCGCGCCGGACAAGCACGCCTTCTGCCGGCGCCACTGCGTCGCCCACGGCCGCGCGCGCCAGTGCGCCCAGGCCGCGGCGAATTTGAGGAGCCGCGTCCGCGACGCGCTCGCGGCGCGCGGCGACGGCGCGGCCGCGGACGCCGCGGGCCGGCCGCCGACGGCCGACGAGCTCGGCGACCCCGTCCAGCTCAACGCGCTCCGCGCTTTGCTGGCCTGGACCATGCGCGAGCAGATCATCAAGGCCAAGGCCGCGCGCGGCGCCGGGCGACGGCGCGCGGGACCTGCGCGCGCGCCACGTCCTGGGCCTCTTCCCGCCGGAGTGCCTCTTCCGCTACGACGCGGGCGTGCGGACGACGTTCACGTCCGCGCGGCCGTCGCAGGCGCCGCGCCGCGCCGTCGTCGCGGCGCTCCACGACCTCGCGGCCCACTTCTCCCTGAGCGGCGCCTGGTGCGTCTTCCCGGCGCACGCCGCCGCCTTCGACGGCGAGCTCGCGCCGGACCCGCGCGGCGGCGGCCGCGGCCGCGGCCGCCGCCAGGCCGCGTCCGCGGCCGCGTCGGGCGCCGTCGCCGCGTGGGTCGCGCGGGACGTGCTCGACGTGCCCGGCGCCGCCGAGCTCCTCGACGCCGTCTTCGACCGCCGCGTCGTCGACGCGGCCGCGCGCCGCTACGACGACGAGTGCGCGCGCGAGGGCTACTCGTACCTCGTCCTGCTCGAGACGTCCGCGTCCAAGGCGCGGCTCAAGGACCTGCGGAGCCTGCTGGAGGCGTTGCCGGCGGCGGTGCACTGCTGCTACGGCGCGCGCCACGAGGGCGTCGCCGCGACGGCGTCGTTCGGCGGCGCGGACGCGCGCGACGACGCGAAACTCGAGTTCGCGCTCGAGACGACCTTCTTCGGCGCCGACCCGCTGCGGGGCCAGGATCCGCTGGGCGCCCCAGATCCTCCGGGGCAAGCCCGCGCTGCGCTTCGCGCCCGACGGCGAGAAGGGGCGGCAGGCGTGGGAGAGCGGCGAGCCCCGGCCGCCGCTCCTCAACGACCTGCCGGTCGGCGCGCGGCTGCTGAGCGCCATGGCCATGGGCTACCGCGACAACCAGCTTCGCGTGTGGGCGGACCGGCCGGGCGGGCCGCCGCGGTACCCGGGCCTGCCGCCGGAGCCGCCGAGCCGCCGCGCGGTCGCCGTGAAACTGGACGTGCCCAAGCCCGCGTGGAAGTTGGTCTTCGCGCCGGCGTCGGCGGGCGCGTCGGCGCCGCCGTCGGCCCAGGTGCTCACGCCCTTCCATTCGCTCGCGGCCGTCGCGGTGCACCACGCGGCCGACGACCGCGACGCGACGGTCTACGCCGTCGCGGGCGCCATGGTCGACACGGCCGGCGGCGGCGCGCGCGCCGAGAGCGTCACCGTGCTCCCGCCGGGCGACGAGTGGCTCGGCCTCGCGCTCCGCTGCGCCCGCGACCCGCGGTCGCTGCCACCGGACGCGCTCGAGGCGAAGCTCGCGAAGGCCGCGCGGCCCGACCTCGCGCGCGCCGCGGACGCGTTCCGCGACGCCGCGGGCGCCGCGCTCCGGGGCCGCGCGCGGCCCGACGCGGCGAGCGGCGCCGCGCTCCTCGCGGGCCTCGCCGCCGTCTTCCGGCCCTGGCTCCCCGCGGCCGCGGCCGACGACGCGCTCGCCGCGCGGCTCGAGCGCCTCGGCCCGCCGTCGGCGGGCGCCGTGCCGGCGCACCTCGCGCGCGGCGCCATCGCCCAGATCCTCGCGCGCGCGCCGGGCCGCGCGCTCGCGTTCCCGATGCTCGACGCGTCCTTCGCGCGCGCCGTCGGCTTCCCGCTGTCGCCGTCGGCCCTCGCCGAGCACACGGGCGAGCCCTGCCCGGACCTCGGCGCCTGGCTCCTCGCCATCCCGGGCGTCTCCCACGACCGGGGCGTCGTGTCCCTCGCGCCGGGCGCCCCCTAAGCACATGTGAATCTAGAATGTGAATCAATACGCCGGACGACTCATCCGACCGCCGCGCACATTGCCTGAGGGTATGTCGTCTGTGCAGGACCTCTACGGCGAGGTCGTCGCGCTCGCACGCGTCGAGCGGCTCTGCGACCGAGGCGTCGACTGCGCGCAAGCCAGATCTTCGGGCCGAAGGCGAAACTTTTGTCCGATTTGGGCGCGAGACGATGGAGCTTTGAATTGCTGCGTGAGCGCACCGCATCCAACGCGGAGCCCTCTCACCCCGCGACGCGCGCGACAAGGCGGTGTGCGGCGGCGGTGACGTGACACACGACGGATTGGCTCTGCGGACCGCGTGTGCCGAAAATCGCGACGCGGCCGCGCGGAGAGTGCTCTCCGACGCGGTCTCGCCCGACGACGGCCTGCGTGCTCGGCAGCTCGCGGACGGGACCGCCGCGCGGCGCTCTACGGCCCCGACTCGTGGCCGCGGACGTCATGCGGTGAACCGCTGCGCCGTCGCTGCGGGCCGGCGTCCTCCGCGCCAAGCGGAGCGCCGTTCTCGGCCTCGGCCCGGCCGTCGCCGTCACTCTGTCACTCTGTCGCCGTCGCCTCGCCGTCGCGCCGCCGCCCCCTCCCCGCCGCCCGCCCCCGACGCGCGCGATGCTCACCGCGAACCGCCCTGTAGGTCAGACACCAAGTTTGCGAGTAGCAAAAGCGCACCAACGACGCGCCGCTGCTCATCGACGGCACGCTCAACGCAATCCGCTCACCCAAACGCGCCACCGTCGACGACGTCGACGGCGTAATCGCAAGCAAGCACCGCATCGCACCGCGTCATGCTCTCCGATTCCTACGCCGACCTCGTGGCCGAGACGGGCGAGCGCTTTAGCCATGTCGCCTGCGACGAGGTGGCGCCGGCCCTGCCGCTCTCGAGCGCGTCGCTCGACGAGACGGCGGATCGGCTCGTCGTCGGCGACGCGAACGGCGTTGTGTGGACCTGGGACGTCGGCGTCGCCGCGTCGGACCGCGGCGACCTCGGCGAGCTCGGCCGCCGCGGCGCTCTCCGCCGCTACGAAGCGCTGTTTGCGCTGCCCGCCGGGGGCGCGCCGCCGCGGCGGAGCCTGCGCGCGCGGCCCTGGGCGTCCGTGCGCGCCGTCGCGGGCTCGCCGCGGCGCGAGGTCGTCGTCGTGTCCGGCGCGCGGCGCGAGCTCTGCGTCGCGGCCCTCGGCGACGTGCCCGGCGGCGTCCCGCTGGGCGCGCCGGGCGCCTACGCGCGGGGCGCGCCGCTCCGCGTCGTCTGCCGCCACCTCTACGCGATCACCGCGCTGTCCGAGGCGTCCGCGGCGGCCGTCGCCACGGGCGACAAGGGCGGCACGCTCCGCGTCGTCGCGCTGCGCGCCGATGCCCTGGGCCCGGGCTGCGACGCGCGGGACCCGCTGCGCGTCGGCGCGGGCGGCGCGGACGCGCTCACGGGCGCGGCCGTCGCGGAAGCGCCGCGCGCGCACGGCGGCGCGCCCATCGCGGGCGTGCACCTCGTCCGCGACCCGCTGGACGCGCGCGTCGTCGTCTCCGGCGGCGGCGACCACTACGCGCGGGTCTGGGCCTTCGGGGCCGGCGCGGACGGGTCGCTCGCGCTCACCGTCGCGCGCGAGATCGACTGCGGCGGCGGCGCGACGCCGCGGTGCTTCGCGCCCGTGAGTTCGCCCGCGGCGACGCTCCTCGCCGTCGGCGGCGACGAGGGCACGCTGAGCGTCTGGGCCGTCGACGGCGACCGGCCGCGGCTCGCGGCCGTCGCCGAGGACACGCGGTCGCCGGTCGTCGCGCTCGCGGCCGCGCGCGACGGCTCGAGCGTCGTCGCCGTCGACGAGGCGGGCCAGATACGCGCCTACGCGCTCGACGGCGACGGCGCGCTCCACGGGAGCCGCGAGGGGGCCCTCGCGGGGGGCGCGCTCGCGCTCGGCGCGCCGCCGGGCCGCGGCGGCGACGGCCGCGGCGTCGCCGCGGTGTCCGCGCGCGGCGCGCTCGAGCGGCCCCTCGCGGACGCGCCGCCGCCAAGTCCGCGGGCGCCGCCGCCGTCGCCGCCGCCAAGGCGAAGGACGCGCACGACGCCGCGGGCCTCGTGGCTGTCGACGCGGCGCTGCCGCCGCGGACGCGCGCCGTGCGCAAGCAGGTCGACCCGCGCTACCTCGCGAAGCTCGACGCGTTCCGGCCCACGGCGGCGGACTTCACGCTCCCGGAGGACGACCTCCGGGACCTCCTCGCCGCGCCCGCGCCGCCCTGCCCGGAGCCGGCCGCCTACGACGAGGGGCTCCCGGGCCTCGCCTACGCCTTTCCGCAGCGGCCCCCGGCCTGGTGATCAACCCCCAGGTCGCGTAAGAACAGGCGGGAGTCGGTACGTACACAGGGGGGGGCTCTAGAAGCCGCAGAGCTCGAGGCAGCCGAACCACGCGCGGACGCGCGCGCGGTCGCCGTCGTCGCGCGCGTCCGAGTCCTCGCGCACCGTCGTTGTCTCGACGGCGGTCTCGGGCGCCGCCCGGGGCGGCGCCGCGGGCCAGAATCCGTCGGAGACGGAGTCGTCGTCGTCGTCGTCGAAGGGATTCTTGCCCCCCGGGGTCTCCTCGGGCGCGGCCTCCTCGGGCGCCGGCGCCGCCGTCTCGGGCTCTTCGAAGTTGAGCTTCGCCGGCGACGCGGTCTCCTCCGAGTCCTCGTCGGACGACAGACCGTAGCGGACGCCCCGCGGCGATGTTTTGTCCTCACCGAGCTTCTTGTGCGCCGAGTGCAGGTCCGCGGCCTCGAGGGCCGCGGCGATGGCGTCGTGGCGCTCCGGCGTATCCGCGGCGGAGAACTGGAAGCAGCGGAGTTCGTGGGCCCGGTCCGCGGCGCGCGCCTCGGCGGCCTTGACGGACGAATGGAAGTCCGCGGCCTCGGCGGCCGCCTGGAGGGCGTCGTGCCGCGGCGGGGTCTTCAGCGGGCTCGGCGCGGCCGCCGCCGGGAGCCGGTTCGCCTGGTTCGCGCGCAAGGGGGAGGCAGGCATCTTCAAACGGTGATTTGTTAATTCATCAACAAGGGCTGCTCCATCGCTTCAACCGGTGTTGCCCCACTCTTAAAGTGGACAAATCTGGCGACGGCGCCTGACTGCTGCGATGAAGCGCTCCTGCGACGACGCCGATGCAACCGCAATACCAGCTCCTAGCAAAGCGCCGCGCGTCGACGCGCCCGAGGCGCCGGCCTTCGACGGCGCGCACTCCGTGGAGCTCACGGGCGAGCTCACGGACGCGCAGGTCGTCGCGGCGCTCCTCGAGGTCGGCGGCCCGCAGCTCGACGGCCTCGCCGTCCGAACGACGACGACGCTCGGCGCCGCGGCCGCGGCGGCGCTCGGCGCCGTCGAGGCGCGCGTCCTGGACGTCGCGGAGGCCGCCTTTGCCGGCGACGCGGTCGAAGCGCTGCGCGGCGCGCTCTCGACGAACGGGTTCCTGCGAGCGCTCCGGACGGCGGACCCGGAGGCCTTCGCGGACCTCGACGAGGCGCGCGCGGCCCACGACCTCGCGCCGCTGAGCCTCAACGACGACGACGACGACGAGGACGACGACGACGAGGACGACGAGGAGGACGGCGTCTACTGCGACGGCGAGGGCTGCGAGGCGGTGCTCGTCGACGACGCCGCGGTGTTCACCGACGGCGCCAGCGACTACTGCGGCGCCTGCGCAGCGAGGCGGCCCGGCGGCCCGGAGCTCCGCGAGACGACGGCGCGCGCGCGCGTCGCGGAGGTCGCCGGGGACGACGACTCGGACGGCGGCGACTCGGAGGCCCCGTAAACATGTCTGTTTTGTGACGGTTACCCGGGCGGCGGCAGGCCCGGGGTGTCGCGCGCGGTGGGGAGGGCGCGCTTGGGGCGCGCGCGTGGGGCGCGCGCTAGGCCTCGGGCTCCGGCGCGGGCGGCGCGGACTCGGCGGCGGGCTCGTCCTTGGGCTTGGCGTCGTCGTCGGCGCTGTCCTTGCGGCGGCGGCGGTCGCGGCCGTCGTCGTCGGCGCCGTCGCCGTCGCGGCGGCGCTTGCGGTCGCGGGAGCGCGACCGGGAGCGCGACCGGGACCGGGACGGCTTGTCCTTGCCCTTGTCGTCCTTGTCGTCGTTCTCCTCGTCGGAGGACGTGACGTCCTCGCCGCGCTCCTGCCGCTCGCGCTTCTCGCGCTCCTTGCGCCACTTCTTCTTGTAGCGCTTCTCGAGGTCGCGGCGGAGGCTCCGCGAGGGCGTGCGGATGTGCATGAAGTTGCAGTAGCCGCCGCGCGTGCACACGGCCTCGTCGTACTGGCGGCAGCGCGCCTCGCGGAAGTCCGTCACGGGCGAGAACTCGCAGACGAGGGGCCGGCCCGCGTAGAAGCGGCCGAAGAGGGCCTTGAGCGACGCGTCCGTGTGCTCCTCGTCGGCGAACTTGGCGTAGACGTTGCCGACCATGTGGTCGCCCAAATTCTCGCAGACGTTGAGCTCCTCGATCTCGCCGTACTTGGCGAGCTCGTCGTAGACCTCCTCGTAGAAGTCGTCGAACTCCTCCTGGACCTTCTTCGGGTCGAGCTGGCTCGGGTCGCCGCCCGCCGCGGCGATCTGACTCGCGGGGTTCTGGTACATGTGCTGGACGATCATCGTCTGCGAGAACGGCGGCTTGTGGTGCTGGCGCGAGCAGCGGTCGCCGTGGCGGCACGCGCCGATCTTGAAGTAGAACGGGCAGTTGACCTTGTCCTCCTCCGTGCCGTGGATGCGCGCGAGGTGCGTCGCGCCGCCGCGCGCGCCGCCGAGCTCCCGGTCGCGCCAGTTCCGGCCCGCGTCGCGCGAGTTGTCGTAGGCGTAGCTCACGCCGCCGCCGCCGCCGCCGCCGCCGCCGCGGGAGCCGCCGCCGCCGTAGCCGCCGCGCGAGCCGCCGTCGCGCCCGCCGCCGCCGCCGCCGTAGCCGCCGCCGCCGCCGCCGCCGTAGTGGCCGCCGCCGCCGCCGCCGTACCGATCGCCGCCGCCGCCGCGGGAGCCGCGGTCGTCGTAGCCGCCGCGGGAACCGCCGCCGCCGCCGTAGCGGTCGCCGCCGCCGCCGCCGCCGCGCCGGTCGTCGTAGCCGCCGCGGGAACCGCCGCCGCCGTAGTGGCCGCCGCCGCCGCCGCCGTAGCGGTCCCCCATGTTGGTCACGGGCGCGCCGCCGAGCACGAGCTGCCCAGCGTCACCTCGAGGCGGTCGCGGTCGTCCTCGGCGTCGCCCGCGAGCCGAGATGTTGTGCTGGACGTCGGCGAGGCGCTCGACAAGCCAAGCCTGGCCAAGGATTGGAAGCAGAGGCCCTCGGCACCGACCCCCGGCCCGCCTGCGCTCGCACACGCAGGGATGCCCCCGGGCAGCAGCGCGGATCGGAGGGGCATCCACCGTCCGGAGCGTGCTTACGGCGGCCTCCCTGGATCGCGCTCGAGGGAGAAGAAGAGCGCGAAGGAGAAGCGTGCGCCGGCGACGACGCGCTCGACGCCGTGGAGGTTCTCGGCGCCCGACGTGAAGCAGAGCAGCCGGCCCGCCCGGGGCTCCACGACCCGGTCCGCGTCCGCGTCGACGAACGCGAAGCGGCCGCCGTCGAAGCCGCCGTTGAGGTAGAGCACGCAGGACCTAGGGAACGCGCCCGTGGCGACGTCTCGAAGCGTCGGTCGCGGGACGCCGCGCGGGACACGTCGGCGCGCTCGTTGTTCAGCTTGTCGACGTGGGGCGCCCAGTACGCGTAGTCCCCGCCGTCCGGCAGGAGCCGCGTCGCGTAGCCGCCTTCGTAGCGGAGCCGCCCGACGCCGAGGTCCGCGGCGGCCGCGCCGCGGCACGTCTCCCGCAGCGCCGCGAAGAGCGCGTGGTGGGGCGCGAGGCGGGCGTCCCCCGGCTCGAGCTTCGTCCGCCCGCCCCGGCGCGGCGCCCGCCGCATCGCGCGGACGAGCGCGCCGACGGCGTGCGCGCAGGACGACGGGGGCACGGCGCCGTCGCGCACCGCGCGCCGCGGACCCAGGGGCCCGCGGCGGGGCTTCGCGGCGGCCGCGACGACGCGGCCGCGGGCGGCGGCGCCGCGGTCCGCCGCGCGGCGACGGGCCGCGGCGGCGCGACGGCGGCGGCCGCGGCGGCGCGCGCGTAGGCCGCGCGCCAGGCGAGGAACGCGTCGCTTCCGAACTCGCGGAGCGCATTTCCGCCCTCGGCCGCGAAGTCGGCGTCCGGGTCGGCGAAGCACTTGGCGCTGACGTAGCCGCTGCGCCGGTTCCAGCGCACGAGCAGCCGGTCCGCGCCGCCCTGGACCTCGACGACGGCGCCGGCGGGCAACTCGCCCAGGAGCGGGCTCGTCAAGGAGGCGCCTCGCCGCACGCGCGCCGGCGTCGTGCAGAGCAGCAGCGCCATGCGCTAGTCCGCGCCGCCCGCGCGCGCCGGCTATGCGCTAGCACGGCGCGCGCGCCGGTTATGCGCTAGTCCGCGCCGCCACACGCATGGCTGGCATGGCCATGGAGGGGGCTGCTATGGTCCCCATCAGCTTCTACGCTATGACAATGATGCCGTGTTCAAGCTCTCGCCGATCTGCCGATCGAGCCGTGCCCGTGCGGCGCGATGGGAGAAGCCATTTGAAACTTCTAGCCTACCTACCGAAAGCACGATGATCGACCTCCTGCCGCGCGAGTGGAGCGGCGGCGAGGCGTGGAGCGGCAGCGAGCGGAGCGCGTCGCCGCCGCCGCCGGACTGCACGCCGCCGCCGTCGGACACGGAGGCCTACGACGCGCCGGTCTACCTCGACGACTACCGGCCCGTCGGCGGCGGCGGCGGCGAGCTCGACGAGTACGAGCTGTCGCCGCGGAACGGCGCGCCGCACGACATCTTCCCGGACTTTGGCGCGGAGTTGCCGCCGCGCGCGCCGTCGGTGGCGTCGAGCGCCGACCTCGGCGCCGCGCCGCCGCGGCGGTCGTTCCCGACCTTCGACCCGGCGTCGAGCGCGGAGCACCTCCCGCCGCGCGCGCCGTCCGTGGCGTCGAGCGCCGAGTTCGCGCCCGCGCGCGACGACGGTCCCGCGCGCGACGACGCGCCGCTCCGGCGGTCGACGGCGCAGATCGAGCGCCTCGCGCGGCTCCGCAAGTCGGGCAAGCCGCGGGCCAAGCCCGAGGCGCCGCCGGACCCGGCGAGCCCGCCGCCGCAGTCGGACCTCGTCAAGTACCTCTTCTCGCCGCCGCCGGCGCGCGCGCCCGCGGCCGCGGCCGCGGCCGCGGCCGCGCCCGAGCCCGAGCCCGAGCCCGACGAAGACGCGTTCGACGAGGACGAGGCGGACGCCGTCGCCGCGCTCGAGGACGAGCTCCGCGACGCGCGCGAGGCGCTCCGGCGCGAGCGGGCCGCGGCCAAGGAGCTCCGCGCGCGCGCGGAGGCGGCGACGGCGGCGTCGCGGGATCGCGCGGACGAGCGGTCCGCGGCGCGGCGCGACCGGCGCGCGCGCGTCGAGGCCTGGGTCGCCGCCGAGCGCGACCGCGCGAAGCGCGAGTCGCTCGCGCTCCACCGGTCGCGCCGCGAGCGGCGCAACGAGCGCGTCGCGGGCGACCGGCGCCGCAAGGCCGACCTCGAGCGCCTCAAGGCCGACGCCGCGCGGCTCCGCGCCGAGCACGACGCGCGCGCGGCGCGGGAGCGGCAGACGGAGCGGCGCCTCGCGGACCGCAACGCGCGCTCGGACCAGCGGCTCCTCGAGCTCGCGACGCAGCTCGAGCTCCTCCGCGAGCAGAACGCGGCCGCGGAGCGCGAGCGGTCCGCGCGCGCCGCGCGCCGCGCCGCCGAGCGCGCCGCCGAGGCGACCGCGCGCGCGCCGGCGGAGGCGGCGGCCCTCGACGGCGAGGCGGACGCCCTCGGCCCCGGGGACGACGCGCGCGACGCCTCCGAGCGCGGCGCGGACGTCGACGTCTTCGGCCTCGACCGCGACTCCGTCGGCCGCGCGTCGGAGCCGAACGTCGACGTCTTCGGCCTCGACCGCGACGCCGTCGACCGCGCGTCGGAGCGGAACGTCGACGTCTTCGGCCTCGACCGCGACGCCGTCGACCGCGCGTCGGAGCGAGACGTCGACGTCTTCGGCCTCGACCGCGACTCCGTCGACCGCGCGTCGGACGCGGGGCTCGACGGCCCGACGCGGACGGTCCTCGACGCCGCGACGCGCCTCGAGTCGTCCTACGACGCGGGCCGCTACGGCGGCGCGGCCTCCGGCGGCGGCGTCCTCGGCGTCGGCGACGACGACCGCGCGTTCCTCGGCGCCGCGGCGCGCGCCGCGACGGCCGACGCGGGCTCGTCCGACGACGGCGGCGCCGCGTCGAGCGCCGGCGGCGCCGCCGAGGACGCCGAGGACGCCGCCGAGGACGCGGACGACGCCGCCGAGGACGACGCGCCGTCGGAGTGGCGGCCGACGGGCCGCGACGGCAAGCTCGAGCGGTCGTGGCGCGACGGCCGCCGCGAGGTCCAGTACCGCAACGGCACGCGCAAGCTCGCCGATCCGACCACGGGCGACGCCGTCGTCACCTTCACGAACGGCGACGTGAAGACGACGACGGCCGCGGGCGCGATCGTCTACTACTACGCGGCCGCGGAGACGACGCACACCTGCGATCCGGCGACGGGCCTCGAGACCTTCGAGTTCCCCAACGGCCAGGTCGAGAAGCACGACCGTCTTCGCCGACGGCCAGGTCGTCTCCGAGGCCGCCGCCTAGGAGCGTAAGTTCGCGGTGTCCCCCTCGGCCTAGGGCGATCCCCCCCGAGGCGCCGGAGGCGGCGCGTCCGCGGCTTCGCCCTTGGCGACGAGCGCCGCGGCGGAGGCGCCGGACGCGTTGAAGAGCATGTACTTGTTGTCCTGGCGCGCGTAGAGGTCGGCGCTGCACTGGAGGAAGTCGGCGTCGAGGTCCGTCGCGGGCCCCGCGCCGCGCGGCGGCGCGGCCGGCCGCCGCGCGTCGCGGCGCGGCCGCGGCGCGCCGTCGAGGTCCTCGACGCCCTCGCGGAGGATGTGGCGCATGGACCGGTCCTCGAGCCAGTGCTCCGCGCGCACGTAGGTGCAGTAGAGCGCGATGTCGTCGTCGCTCGAGTAGCGGCTCCGCGCGGCCGCGAGCGCGCGCGCGTCCAGTAAATCCGCGTAGTCCGCGCGGGCCTCGCGGAGCGCGCCGAGGCGGGAAGTGATCTGGTTGAGCACGCCGTCGGCGTCGAGCGCCGCGCCGTCGGCGCTCGACGTCGCGCCGCGGCGCCGGAGCCGCGCGAGGCAGCCCTCGAGCTCCGCGTCGTCGGGCGGCGCGTCCTGCGTCGCGTCGAGGGCCTCCGGCGGCGGCGGCGGCGGCGGCGCGCCGCCCGGCGACGGCGGCGCCTCGGGCGGCGCGGCCGCCGCGGCCGCCGCGGCGGCCGCGGCGGCCGCCGCGCGCGCGGCGGTCTTCGCGGCCGCGCGCGCGGCGCCCGTGAAGGCCTCGAGCTCGTCGTGGACGGCGGCGACGACGTCGCGGGCCGACGTCGCCTGCCGCAGGCCCACGTAGTTGCCCCGGGGCAGCACGCGCGCGACGCCCGCGGACTGCGCGACGTCCCTGACCGCGGCGACGTCCGTCGCGTCCAGGTCGCGCTCCTTGAGCGCGCTCGCGAACTGGGCCCGCGACTCGGCGGCCCGCGCGCGCCGCGCGCGCGCGTCGGCGTCGTCGCCGAGGGCCGCGGCGTCGGCGAGGCGGCCCGGGTCGCCCGCCGCGCGCGCGTACTCGCCGTACTCGCGCTCGCCCCGCGCCTCGACGGCCCGCAGCGCCAGCGCGCCGACGAAGGTCGCCTCGCTGCGCCGCGCCGCCGCCGCGGCGAGCTCCGCGCGCGCCGCGAGCTCGCGCGCGCGCCTCCGCCGCGCGTCGGGCGGCCCGGAGAAGTCGTCGTCGTCGGACGCGTCGCCGCCGCGGCGCCGCGGCGCGCCGCGCGCGGCGCCCGCGCGCCGCGGGAAGAGCTGGCGCACGAGGCGCCGCAGCGCCGCGCGCGCGTCGTCGCCGCCGGCGTCCGGCGGCGGCGGGCTCGGGCCCGCGCGCGGCGTCGGCGCGGGCGGCGCGGCGTCGCGGTCGCGCGCGGGCGTCGCGTCGAACGCGCGCCGCGGCGCGCCCAGCTCGTCGTCGTCGTCGTCGCCGCCGTCGCCGTCGTCGTCGACGAGGAGCGTCATGTCGGCGTCCGCGGGCTGGGTCTCGGGCACGGGCGAGTCGCGGCCCGGCGCGTCCTCGCCGCCGCCCGCGCTGATCGCGAGCAACCCGTCGCCGCCGCCGCGCGCGCCCTCGAGGCCCCGGGGCCCCGCGCGCCGCGGCCGGGGCCGCCGCTCGGCGGCGTCGTGGGCCAGGGGGATGGGCACGAAGAAGTCGTGGCAGAGGATCTTGTCGAACTGCGTCAACTTGTAGGGCTGGTGCACGCGCTCGAAGCGGCTCGCCGACGACCGGCGCCAGCCCTCGGGCGGGAGGCTCAGGTCGCGCTCGGGCACGGCGACGCGCTGGGCCTCGAAGGACCGCAGGGCGTCGCGCCACCAGGCGCTCAGCGTCTCCTGCTGCCGCGCGCAGCGCCGCACGACGCGGCGGCGCCGCGCGACGAGCGCGCGCGGCCGCGCGCCGCGCCGCGGCGACGCGCCGTCGGCGTCCGAGTCGGAGTCGGAGAGCCAGGACTCGCGCCGCGCGCGCATGGACAGCACCGTGCCCGTCTGGACGTGGAAGTTGTGGAGGTAGTAGTCGGATTCGAGCTCCCAGAGCGGCGGCTCCGCGTCGGAAGGCACGAAATTCCCCAAAAAGACGTTGATGGCGTCCTGCTTGAGCCGGTCCGTGAAGGCGTTGCTGTAGTAGCGCCGGATGGACGTGAGCAGCTCCTGGTGCTTGGGCGCGACGGCCCCGAAATCCGCGCGCGCCGCGTCGTCGCCGCCGCCCGCGGACGCCGACGGCCCGGTCCCGCCCATCTTCTTGTGGGCCTCCGAGCCGCCGTACTGGAGCGAGATGAGGTCGCCGACGGTGGAGTAGAGCTCCATGAGCACGAGCACGACCTGGGAGCCGCTCTCCAGCGTCGCGCTCTTGAAGACGCCCATCGTCGCGAGCATGCGCCCGAGCGCCTGGGCGGGACACGGGTGATTCGACGTCGCTTCAACGTGAGTGTTCCGCGCGCGATCGTTCCAGAGAAAGCATCCACGCTTCGACATCGCTCCCATAGATGATCGCTCGTCCAAAAATCAGCCGAAACGAGCGGAAAACGGCCGAGAGAGGAGCCTTTGAGGTTGGGACGTTCGCGCCCGTTTCCCGCCCGGCCGAGCGCGTGGACGCCCACGGTGAACTGGGCCACGTTCGTGCGGTCGAGGCAGTCGATGCAGTTCGTGCGCATGACGCCGCGCTGCTCCAGCGGCGGCGCCCGCGCCCGGTCCGGGTCGTCGCGGCCCGCGTGGTCGCCGACGCCGACGTCGAGGCGGCTCACGTCGCCCCCGGGCGACACCTCCGCGCGCGGCCGGCTGCAGAAGAAGCGCGTCTCGTAGAGCGTCCACCGCGCCACGTCCTCCAGCGCCTTCAAAATGTTCATCTGGCGGTGCTTGGACACCTGGGAGAAGTCGAGCGCGCAGTAGCGGACGCGCCGCGGCGCGGGCACGTGCGCGTTGACGTGCTCGATGGCCCGGCGGAACTCGTGGCTCACGATCATCTCGCGCTCGCGCTTCTCCGACTGCTTCGTCAGGTCCAGCACCATGACGGGCGCGCCGTAGCGCCCGATGAGGTCCCCGAAATGCGCGCGCGACGCCGCGTACGTCGGGTCGACGCGGTTGAGCACGATGGGCGGCTTGGGCATGGTCACGGACGTCTCCTGGGTCCAGAACGTCGGGATGGACCCGCGCACCTGGACGAAGCTGGAGAAGACGCCCTCGCGCACGCCCTCCTCGTGGGCGATCTGCTCGAGCTCGACGTCGTTCGCGACCTTGCCGCCGTCGGACACGCCCCGCTTCAGGTACCGCGTGCCCGCGAAGTGGCGCGACCGCCGCGCGACGAGGGTCACGTTGACGACGCGGCCGAACAAAGTGCACTTGCGCTGCACGAAGGCGCCGTGCGTCAGCGCGAGCGTCCAGCGCGCCGCGGACCGCGCGTCCAAGGCGTCGCCCAACTCGCGCGTGAGGTGGTCGTTCCACGCGTACATGGCCTTGCGCGGCGCGTTCCGCGGGCCGCCCTCGCCGGCGCCCGCCGCCGGGAGCGCCGACGTCATGTTGTGCTGGAGCGTGCGCGTGAGGTCGTAGGTGTAGGAGAAAAAGAAGTCCTTCGTGAGGTCGATGAACTGGAAGAGCCCGACGTAGCGCTGCTCCGCGATCTCGCGCTGCGTCGGGTTGAGGCGCCGGTTCACGTCGCTCACGAGCGACTTGATCAGCGACTGGTCGCCGCTGCGCGCGCTCTCGGGCTTGATGGCGATCATCTCCGTCGCCTTGATCCCGTAGACCGCGTTGCCGCCGATCTGGCCGACCTTGCGGCGCTGCGTCACCAGGATGACGTAGTAGCAGTCCAGGAACCGCGCGAAGCCCAGGAGGCCGTAGCCCGTCGCCACGCGGCTCAGGCCGCCGTGCGTGCGGTTGCCCTCGTGGATCATCTCGAGCATCTCCTTGAGCTCGACCTTGGAGTACGCGCACGAGTCCTCCGTCGCGACGTCGCCGAGCTTGCAGTCGCCGCCCGCCGCCGCCCGCAGGATCTTGAGGACGCGGTAGGACGCCTGCCGCTTGTCGCAGCCCACGATGTAGAGGTGGCTCATGGTCTGGTACAGCACGAACTTCTCGAGGCCGGAGCACGTCGGCTCGCAGGAGAGGTTCGACATGGTCGCCGGGCCCCGGCGGCGCGCAAGGGCGGCGAGCTTTTTCGGCGCGCAAGGGCGCGGGTTCGGGGCGCGCGACGCCGCGGCGCGACCGACGAGAGCCCGGGACGACGGCCGCCGCAAGCCCAAGCCAGCTGAGCTGAGGCAATCTCCAGGGAAACATAAACCCAAGGCCGATGTTGCGGTGCTCCTCGGCGCGGAGCGGCGAAAGCCTGGGTCCATGCTGGCACGCACGGGAGGCGGGCTGGCGCGCGCGGTCTCACAACAACAGGTGCTTACAGTGGGGAGGGGGCTTCGCGCGATCACCACCGGTGCTTCTTGGCCGCGTCCTTGCGCTCGCGCTCGGCGCGCGCGGCGGCGGCGCGCTCCGTGGGCCGCAGCGGCCGCTCCTCCTCCTCGGGCGGCGACGGCGCCGCCGTCGCCGGCGTGCTGCTCTTCTTCTCCGGCGTCGGCACCTGCGCGCGCGGTGTCGGCGCCGCGCGGCCGGTCGTTTCGGGGCGCGGGCGCCGCGCGATGTCCTTCGCGCGCGCCCGGAGCAGGCCGGGCAGGAGCGCCGCCGTGTAGCTGTCGAGCCACTCCCGCGCGGCGCTGTCCATGGGGAGCCGCCGCAGCGCCTCCCTGCGCGCCGCGCGGCGTCCGGGCGGCGGGGAACGGACGGGCGGGGCGCCGCGCCGCGCGCGTCCTCGGGAGCGAGCTCGTTCCAGCAGTTCTCGAGCGACGCCGCCGCGGCGAAGGCGATGGCCTCGGGCACGGGCGTCCGCTTGTCCGGGCGGCGCGCCTCGGCGCCCTTGGCCGGCGGCGGCGTCTGCGTCGCGTCGCCGGCGTAGAGGAAGTCGAGGAGGCTCCGGTTCGCCTCGTCGTCGTCGTCCTTCGCCGTCGGCGTCTGCTCGTCGCCGTCGCGCGAGCGCTTCATGGCCGCGTGGGCGCTCGGCGCGCGTGCAGGTGCGCGGGCGCGACAATAGGGGCTGCCCGACGATTAGGGAACACGAACATCGCAAACTAAGTTTCGGGCTTCGGGTTCAACATCCCGATCTCCCGGGGGGTTTCGCGCGTGTGCGAACGTGATCTTCCCGACGGAGATCCGTGTTACCCAGGCGCGACACCCGCATTGTTCTCCTGCGACTGTAAGAGATCGCAGCTCATGAATCATCCCTAGGAGTATGTATCGTGGCCCCCAGAGGCACCCCCGGGCCCCCTGGACCCCCTCGACGTTGCTCGCGACGTCCGGACCGCCGCAACGACCAGTCGACCGCGCCGCCCCGCCGCCGTCGCGCTCGCCCTGCAGCTCGCAGCACAGGTCGTTGCGGTCCGCGCCGCCCTTGACCGCGTCGAGCTCGCCCTGCAGCTCGCGGCACAGGTCGAATCAGTGCGCGAACGTGATGGAGTCGTTTGCCGACGACTTTGTCCCGCCTGCCACACCATCACCGGCAACACCGACCCCCGCGCGTCGTCGCAAGCCCCTCGGCTCCATCTCGACGAACGCGAACGTCGACGCGACCGAGGTGTCGAAGCCGTTGGCGGCGGTCAAGGCTGCGGCGGCCGCCGTTAAAAAGGCTGCGCAGCAATCGACGACGGTCAAGGTCTGGGAGAACGGCGACGGCGACGCGTGCTACCTCGTCAACTCGACGCCGCAGGGGTCCGTCGCGGTCTACAAATGCGATCACGGGTGCGGGTTTCAAGGCTCCTTCGCGGACGTCGCCGAGCACGAGCTGTCGTCGTGCGAGATGCGCGAGGCGGCGGCGCCGCGCCCTCCGGCGCCGTCGCCCCCTCCGGTGCCGACGACGACGGTCGCGCCGCCGACGCCGCCGCGCGCGCCCGTGCTCCTGGCGGTGCGCGCGCCCGCGCCGGCCGCCGCGCGGCGGCCCGTGAGCCCGCGCGCGGCGCCGCCGCCGCCGAAGCCCGCGGGCGACCGCCGCGTGCTCGCGGTCGTCTTCGCGCTGTCGCTGTCGTTCCTCTTCGGCGCGCACCCCATGCTCGCGCCCGCCGCGGCCCCGCGGCCGCCGCCGCTCCTCGCGCCGCCGGCCGCCGCGGAGGCGCTCGGCGAGCCGTTCGCGTCGGACGAGGCGATCGTCGACGCGTGCCTGGCGCTCGTCGCGTCGGACCCGCCGGCGGCCTACGCGGCGCTCCGCGCGACGGGCGTCCACGGCGCCTTCGCCGCGCTCCGGCGCGCGGTCGCCGGCGTCGCGCGCGCGTTCCGCGCCGTCTTCCGCCTCTTCCCGCGGCCGTCGGCCCGGTCCTAAGTACCTATCACGCGAGCGTCCCCCAGCGCTTCTCCACGACGGTGCCGTCCGGCAGCACGACGAGGTCCGGGTGGTGCCGCGCGAAGACCGCGGGGTGGCTCCGCGCGAGGGACTTGAACGCGTTGATGCCGTAGGCGTCGTGGAGCTTGTTGCGGCCCGCGCCGTGCGAGTCCGTCGCGGCGACGTCGTCGGGCCGCGGCCGCGCCCAGTCCAGCTCGGCCGCGTCGGTCGCCGCGGCGACGACGGCGTCGAGCGACGGGTTGCAGAAATAGGGCAGCGACAGCCGGTCGCGCGGCGGGCTCGCGACGCGGTGCGGCGTCGCGAGGAAGTAGCCGCCCGACGCGAGCTGGAGCATCTCCCCCAGGTTGACGACGACGCAGCCGTCGCGCGGCGGCACGGGCGTCCAGCGCCCGCCGATCATCGCCTCGAGGCCCGGCCCGTCCTGCCAGAGGAGCGTGAGCCAGCCGCTGTCCGTGTGCGCGCCGACGCCCTGGCCGGCGCCCGCCGGGTAGCGCGCGACCTTGGCCTGCCAGTGGGGCTTGGGGCCCAGCACGTGTTGATGGAGCGCGCCGCGGTCGAGGCCGAGCGCGAGCGAGAGCGCCGCCGTGAGCGCCGCGCTCGCGCGCGCCATGACCTCGAGCCAGCGCGCCGCGGCGCCCTCGAACGCGTCGTCGGGCCACTGGTTCGGGCCCAGGAGGCGCCGCGCCGGGCCCTCGACGGCGACGCCGTCCTCGCGGCCGAACTCGACCTGCTCCCTCCGGTCGACGACGCCCGCCGTGTTCTCCACGCCGAGCCGCATGTAGCCGCGGAACGCCGGCGACCGCTCGTAGCCGATCTCGGCCTTGGTCGCCGCGTCGCGCGCGAAGAACCGGCGCGACGCCGCCGCCGCCGCGCAGCAGCAGTCCCAGTCCTCGGCGTCGAGCTCCAGGTAGAGGAAGCCGATCTCGTGGCAGATGCGCCGCAGCGCGACGACGTCGGCCTCCAGGCTCGCGGCGCGCAGCACGGGCAGCGCGCCGTCGGCGAGCACGAGCTGCGCCATTCAGCAGCGCGGTCGTCTCACGGCTTGGCCCATCGCGTCACAGCATCATAGGTGCTTGTTGCCTTCAACCATTACCTCACATGCGGTCGACGACGGGGATGCCGAGGATCGTCGAGAGGCCGAGCTTGAGGGCGCCCGCCGTCGCGGCGCAGAGCTTCGCGCGCGACGCCGCGAGCTCGGGCGTCGGCGCCTGGGTGACGGGGCAGGACTCGTAGAAGCGGTTGAAGATCTGCGCGAGCTCGAAGAGGTAGTCGCAGAGGGCGTTGGGCCGGAGGTCGCGCTCGAGGTTGACGAGGGTCGGCGCGAGGAGCGCGAGGTGGCGCGCGAGCGCGCGCTCCGCGTCGTCGTCGAAGACGACGGCCGCGTCGCCGGCGGCCGCGTCGCCGCGCTCCGCGGCCCTGCGGCGGATGCCGTTGATGCGCGCGTAGGAGTAGAGCATGTAGGGCGCCGTGTTGCCCGTGAGGGCGAGCATCTTGCCGTAGGAGAACTTGTAGTTCGACTCGCGGTTCAGCGAGAGGTCCGCGTACTTGACCGCGCCGATGCCGACGGCCCTGGCCAGCGCCGCGAGCTCCGCGTCGTCGAAGTCGAGGCTCGCGTCGCTCGAGTCCTCCGCGTTGCGGTCGTCGCGGCGCGCCCGCAGGTCCGCCAGCGCGCGCCGCTCGGCCTCGTCGAGCAGGTCCTTGAGGCGGACGGTCTCGCCGGAGCGCGTCGCGAACTTCTTGCCGTCCTCGCCGCGCACGAGGCCGAAGGGCACGTGCTCGAGCAGGGCGTCGCCCGCGACGAGCGCCGCCCGCTTCGCCGCCTCGAAGACGGCGGCGAAGTGGGGGCCCTGGCCCGCGTCCGTGACGTAGAGCACGCGGTCCGCCTTCAAATCGCCGCAGCGGTACGCCGCGGCCGCGAGGTCCGTCGTCGCGTAGAGGAAGCCGCCGTCGGACTTGCGCACGATCATGGGGTTCCCCCGCGTCTCCGGGTCGCCCGGGGGCCAGACGACGGTGGCGCCCTCGGACGGCTCCGCGAGGTCGCCGAGCGCGGCGACCGTCGCCTCGAGCCGGTCGTTGTAGAACGACTCGCCGACCTCCTCGAGGCCCGCGACGCCGAGGCGGTCGTAGATGGCGTCGAACTCGACGCGCGACGCGGCGCAGAGCCGCCTCCAGGCCGCCAGGGACCGCGCGTCGCCGCCCTGGAGCGCGACGACGTTGTCGCGCGCGCGGAGCTTGAAGCTTTCGTCCGCGTCGAAGCGCGCCTTGGCCTCCTTGTAGAACGCGACGAGGTCGCCGAGCTCCGGGGCGTCGTTTTCGCCGCCCACGGGCGCCACGTCGTCGAGGTGCGCCAGGAGCATGCCGAACTGGGTCCCCCAGTCGCCGACGTGGTTCACGCGGCGGACGTCGTGGCCCGCGAACTCGAGGCAGTTCGCCAGGGCGTCGCCGATGACCGTGGACCGCAGGTGGCCCACGTGCATCTCCTTGGCGATGTTCGGCGAGCTGTAGTCGACGACGACGGTCCGCGGCGCCGCGGCGCGGGGCACGCCGCAGCGGCCGTCGGCGTCCGCCGCCATCGCCGCCGCCGTCCGCGCGAGGTAGTCGTCGCTCAGCCGCAGGTTCACGAAGCCCGGGCCGGCGATCTCCAGCGGGAACGATACGACGCTCGCGACGCCGGCGTCGGCCTCCAGCGCCCGGACGATGTCCGCGGCGACGTCGCGCGGCGGACGGGGCGCGCCGAGCTTCTTGCTCAGCGCGAGCGCGGCGTTGCACTGGAAGTCGCCGAACTCCTTCTTCGTCGCGACGTTGAGGGCCGCGTACCGCTCCGTGCCGAACTCCGCCCCGAACTCGCGCCCGAGGGCGTAGGCCGCGGCCTTGGCGAGGTAGCCGTGGACGTCGCCGCCGGGCGGCGGCGGCGCCGGCGCGGCGGACACGGGCGCCGCCGGCGTCAGCGTGCTCGCCAAGCGCCGGCGCTTCGCCGCGCGGGCCGCGGCCGACGCGCCGGGACGGAGCGCCGCCGCCGACCGCAGCATCGCCACGACGATGACCGCTCTCATGCCTTTGCTCACGGCTACCGCAACCTCAAGGAGGCTTCAAGGATCCCTGTTGCCGCCTGCGCCCGCAGCCGCTCGGCAAGGACTTTGGCCAGGCCCAAGGTGCCGCAGTTCACTTGTGCGCAGACCCGCGCCTCGAGCGATGCATCCCCGCGCGAACTGGTTACTCCCGGCCGCCTTGCTCATGTGCGCGTACGACGCACGGCATCCGCTCGAAGCGCGGGAACGGCGGCTCCTCGGCCGGGCCGCGCGTCGCGGCGAGGTACGCGTAGAGCTTCTCGTTCTCCGGCGCGTAGGCCGCCTCGAGCCGGTCGCGGACGTGGCAGCGGATCGTCTTCTGGGGCGGCTGCGTGCCGTCGTCGCGCTCGGACTTGTTCGCCTGCGGGAAATTCGCGGCGCCGCGGAGCGTCGGGAAGCGGAGGAACCCGCCGATGCGCCGCTCCGCGTCCGCCGTGTTGGCCAGCAGCCAGCCGAACTCGAAGACCGCGATCTGCCGCCGCGAGAAGGCCGCCGCCCAGGCCCGGAGCTGCGCCTCGTAGAAGCCGATGTCGAGGCCCTGCTCGCACTTCCGCTTCGTCTCGAGGCGGCAGTTGGCGTAGGCCTCGTAGGTCCCGTTCCTCCCGCCCGGAGGGCACGCGGCGCACCACGAAGTGGCGACCCGGTTCTGGTGGTTGTACGCGCTGAGGTCGCGCGCGACGGGCTCGCGCAGCACGGCGACGAAGCGCAGCTCGGGCCGGAACGGCAAGGGAAGCGCCGCGCGCAGCAGCCGCGGGGCCTCCGCGGAGCGGAGGTTGGCGGGCGTGCCCTCGACGAAGCCGTTCGGGCACTCGTTCCGGAGCTTCGACGCGGGGTAGAGCGCCGTGAACTGGCGCGCCGCGTCGGCCGGCGCCAGCGACGCCGTGTTGGGGTATCCCCTCTTCGCACCCCCCCCCGTCCAGAAGTGCGTTTCCTTCCCGTGGTACGTCCTTCTGTCTTCCGCTTCCGGAGGGATGACGGCGCCGCAGATGCCGTAGGTCGACTTGTTCGTGAGCCAGATCCAGACGGACGTCGAGCCGCACTTCTGGCCGCCGAGGATCCACGTCGCCGGCCAGCACTTGCCCGCGCGGCAGAGCGATGCGTGCGACACGAGCGACGCGTTCCCGTCGCCGAGCTCGTTCCTGCTCCATTCGTACGCCGCCAACGGACCGGCGAGCGCGGTCTCGGCGCCGACGAACGGGAGCCAGCACAGCCAGCGCAACGACCCAATCGTCATACCGGCTGCCTGGCCCTGCGCAGCCGTCGCAAATAAAATTATAGCATCGGGCTGCACTTCGGGCTGCTCACTGGCGTAAAAAATAGTACACGGAGCTAGATGCCGGCCCGGCCGCCCGTGGCGGTCGCGGCTAGGCTTGGAGTCCCAGTGCAGCAATGCCTGGTGCCGCAAACCCCCCGGGTAGGCCCTCTAGCTGTTAACCTCTCCTAGCCTAGTACACCAGGGAGCAGCCTTGGAAGCCAGCCGCTCGTGAAGCATGACGCGCCGCCGTCGTCGCTGCCCCCCCCGGCCCGACCATGGCGGGCCCGCTGCTCGTCTGGGAGTCCGGCGCGACGTTGTCCGTGCACGGCTTGACGGCGGCGCATTCGGGCTTCCGCCCCATCCAGTGTCGGTTGGCGGCGGCGACTTCAGGTCGTGCGCGAGCACGCTGGTTCGGCGCCCCCGGGCATCTCTGGGTTCGGACCCGCGAGGCCGCCGACTTCCGCGTTCGAGGGGGGCGCACGACCGTGCTGCGCTCCATGGAGGCGCGCTGGCTCGAGACTCTCCGCGGCGCCCGAATCGCTCGCCGCCGCGCGGCGGGCTTTCAGGGCAACCGCGTGCACGTCCGAGACCCACGGCGCCAGCCTCTGCGGCGTGGGCTACGCCGAGCCCAAGCAGACCTTCCCCGGCGACATCATCTGCCGTACCTACGCCTTCGCCGAAGAGCTGGCGCGCGCTGTCCAGTCCCGCGCGAGGCGCGCGGGCCTCGACTTAAAACACCGACGCATGTGCCATCTACGGGCGCACTCGTCGGTGGGGGAGAGCCGATGGAGACGCCGCCCCCCCCGGGCCGACGGCAGGCCGTTCAGACCACGCCCTGGCCCCGCTTGACCTCCCCCTCCGCTCAGTCGAATCAACTGTGCTTAAACAGTTCATGAGTCAACTGATAGACCATTGATCGATTGGACTCTTTGAGTAGTCATGAACAGTGATTATGGTGGGCGCCAAAACACCCCCTGGCGACCCTCCCGCTGGACCCCAGCGCATCAGGGGTCCGTCCAACATGTCCTCTGGAGGACCAAAGCTGAAAAGCAGCCATCCATGCCGAAACTCGGCTGTGGACGGGCTGCCAAGCACGACGCGCGCCGCGGCTCAAACCTGGTCAACGACCCGAGAAACGCGCATTGGGGACACCCGCGACCGCTTCGAGACCCTCTCAGACACCCTTCGAGTGCCCCAGTCGCGTGGATCGTCCTCTGGGCCCGGCGCTGACCGCCACGACCACTCGGAACGCTCGACGCGCACCGCTGGGGCTGCCACGCGCGCGCGCGTGATGATGGACATGATCAATCAGCGGCACGCGGGGAATCCCGTCGTGACACCATTCCTTCGCGATTCCCCGCGCGCCGCTGATTAATCGATGCCCTAGGACCGACATATCGCCCCTCGACGCGTCGAAATGGCCCGGATCCAGAGGCCCCGTTCGCCCCGAAATCGTGCTCGCCTCTGTAGATCGAGAGCGGCGCGTCGAAGATCGCCCGCCGGCGCGGCGCGGGCTCGAAGGCCGCCGGGGCGCCCGGCGGACCGAGCCGCCGAACGCGGCCAAAGTCGGGCGCTGCCCATCGGATCGGCTTCCCAGTGCGCTGGAGCAGCTAGAGATCTTTACGCCAGTGGCTGCGCCAACACGGGTTCACCTTGACTTCAAGCGCTTGTCGTCTTGCTTTTTACGCGGGCCAGGCGCTCTCGTTCGCGGCGTAGGCGGCGAAGCAGTCGTAGTCGAGGATGACCTGCTCGCGGTAGGCCGCGGCGACCTTGGCGACGGAGACGCCCCAGGTCTCCCGGGCGTAGGACTCGCGGAACGCCGCGGCGACGACGTCCTTGAACGTCGCGGGCGCCTTGGCCACGGTGCCGCGGACGTGGGACGTCGCCGTCGTCGCCGCGATGGCCTGGACGTAGCGCGCGTACTCGGCGTACGTGTCGAACTCGTCGAGGTCGAAGGACGCCTTCCACGGCGACCGCTCGCGGACGACGTAGGCGCCGCCGTCGAAGATGGCGACGCCCGCGTAGGGGTCCGCGTAGGACGTGAGCGCGCGCTGGCCCGCGACGGCGCGCGCGGCCTCGTTCGGGAACAGGGACGCGTACCAGGCCTCGTCGCCCGGGTGCTCGCCGACGACGGCCGCGACGGCGGGCGCCGGCTCGTACTTGACGTCGAGGATGACCGCGCCGCCCTCCTCGAGGTCGTCGTCGTCGACCTCGCGCGGCGACCCCCGGAGGAGCACGTAGTAGCGGCCCACGCCGAAGGACCCGACGCCGCTGCCGACGCGCCGCGCGACGTCGAGCACCTCGTAGAAGGCGTCGTCCCACTCGCGCGCGCGCCAGCCGACCTTGGGCAGCGACGCGCCGTAGCCGTCGCGGCCGAACGCCGCGGCGACGCGCGCGGCGAGGTCGCCGTCGACGGCCTCGAGCTTCGTCTTCTTGGACTTGACGAAGGCCCGCTCGCCGTCGACGACGTCCGTGAACTTGTGGAGCTGCTTGCCCGCCGAATCCTTCGCCTCGACGGCCTCGAGGAAGTCGCGCAGCAGGCCCGACGACGTGTCCGCCGTGACCTCGAAGAGGAGCGCGTCCTCGTTGCCGACGTAGGAGCGGACGGTCTCGACGTACGTGTCCGTGAACGTGAGCACCGCCGCCTCGGACTGCGCGCGGCCGAGGCCGTTCGACATGCCGTGGTTGTAGATGGACACGGCCGCGCGCCTGCGACGCCGGGACGGCGGCGGTTTCGCGCGCGGAGTCAACGAGGGACGCCGCGCGCGCGCCACACGTCGATGCGGAAGTCGTAGATCGCCGCCTCGTCGAAGTCGTTGACGCCCAGGACGACGTCGCCCTTGCGGTTCTTCCAGGCCCCGAAGTTCGACAGGTGCTGGTCGCCCGTGACCCAGGTCCACGTCGCCGTGCGGCCGATGGGCGACCCGTCGGCGAGCGTCGGCTCCGCGAGGCCGATCTCCTCGAGGTTGTACTCGCCCCAGCCGCCGACGACGAAGTCGTACCAGAAGAGGTGCGCCGTGCCGCGGTAGAAGGCGTTCGCGTCCTCGGCGACGACGGCGTACTGCGCCGCGAGCTCGCCCTTCGTCTTGCCCGCGTCGCGCGCGCGCGCCTCGGCCTCGATCCAGGCGCAGCGCGCGTGCGGCGCCGGCGCCTCCCAGCCGCCTGCCACGTCGAGGACGAGTGTGCCGTCGCGCTCCTCGACCGCGTCGACGGAGGCGACGACGAGGCTCCCGAGGCAAAAAAAGGCGCCGAAGCAGAGGCCGACGAGGGCGTAGGTGCGCACCTTGCTTGCTGGAGTGGGTGCGGCAATTCCTGCCGGCGCCGTGGCGACCGGCGAGAAGCTGTAGGAGTCGCTGTTGATGGGGTTTACTGCGGCCATAGCTTCGATTCTCGGCGCTTCTGCTTCAATAAGACTTCAACGAGCCTTCAATGATGAGTGCTTGCACTTTCGGGCGCGCCGGACGCCTCCGCGACGACGCGCCGCGGCGCTGCTACCTTCGGGGTTCGTTACGCCGCCGGCCCCCTAGAGCACCTTCGCGAACTCGGCCTCCCACTCGCCGTCGCTCGGGTGGTCCCGCGCGGCCTTCGTCGTGACGCCGAACTCCTTGCCCGCGGCGCCGTCGAGGGCCAGGGAGCGGACGAGGGCCTGGGCGACCTGGACGCGGCCGCTGTCGCCCGGCCGCGCGTCCGACGCCGTCGCCGTGAAGACCGCCTGGAGCCCCGGGCCGGCCGCCTGTGTGGAAATCAACCAGTGAGCTGGGACGTCGGGGCCAAACTTCAGAAATCTCTAGCTCGGTCAAATCGAAGTCGATTCGGCTGATTTTTGGACGAATTGATTGCTCTCGTCGAGTTCTCGAAGCAGAGCTGAAGAGTCTGGTCCGAACCGTTCGATTACGTTCACATTGAAGTCGGGTTGAAGATTTGAATTCCACACAGCCCGTCGCGCTGTCGCCGGGCGTGAGCTCGACGCCCCGTGTCTCGCAGTCGAAGAGGAGCTGCCAGTTGACGAGGTCCGCGACGATCTCGGCGTAGAAGCGCGGCGCGAGCGTCGGCGCGACGGCCTGCACCGACTCCGGGTCTCCGGGCCCGCCGCCCTTGAGCGTGCCGCCGCGGACGATGGTGACGTCGCCGCCCTTGGCCGCGACCTTGGCCTTGAGCTTCGCCTCGAAGCTCCGGTACATCTCCACGCGCTCCGGCGGCGCGCACCACACCTCCTTGTTCGCCGCGACCTTGGACGCCGTCACGAAGGGGCCCATGCCCTTGCCGGAGAGGTGCTTGCTGAGGCAGGCGACGCGGCTCGCGCCGCCCTCCGCCGGGAGGACCACGTCGAGCAGCGTGTCCGTCAGCGTCTGCTCCGCGTCGAAGGCGACGATGAGCGCGTCCGCCGACGCCACGGCCTCGTTGAACGCCGTCACGTCCTCGTCCTCCGTGACGCCCAGGATCCGGAGGTTCGCGTCCCGGTCCTCGTCCTCGGCCCAGAGCAGCTGGTTGAAGAGCTCCGTCCGCGCGCTCACGATCGTCGTCGGGTAGCCCGCGGCGGCGGCGGTCTTCGCCGCCAGCAGGAACACGGGGCCGTTGCCCACGGCGAGCACGTTGCCGCCGGGCTTCAGCGCCGACATGCTGACCGCGGCGCGGGCGTCGGCGCGGGTCGCGCTGCGGGCCACGCCGCGGCGCGCGGCCTGCAAGCCATTGGCGGCGGCAAGCAGCAGCGCTGCGTGCACGAGCGTCGCCGATGAGAGTCGTCGAGCCATCGCCTCAAGGTCTATAAAGATCCCGCGGCATCTTCTGTGCAAGCCTTATGCAACGAACGACGTTGACGCCCCGGCGGTCCGCGCGAGTCGGAGGTTTCGCGCTGCGTCTCCGGTGAGGGCGGCGTCGGCTTCATCTTGGCGAAGTCCGCGGCGCTTGAAGTCAGAAGGCCGCGTCGCCGGTGGACGCGCCCGCCGCGCGCCCGACCGTGACAGACTGCCGTTTTTGGAAGCCACCCACGCGCGTAGCCCGCGAACGCGTCCGCGACGAGCGCGACGCAGGGCTCGAGCAGGGCTGCAGGGGCAACCCTTTTAAGGGTTTGATTGGTGAACTTTTTTGGGCAGCGCTGCAGCGAGCCGGGCGGGCTGGGCAGGATCGTGAATGGTGACGCAACCTCTGTTTGTGGCAGCGTCGACACTCGCACTCGCGGACTGTCGTTCCACTCTAAAAGCGTCGCCCAGTACCACCCAAAACCAGCAGACCATGTCCGCGGCCGTCCAGAAGACGACGGGCGACTTCAAGAACAAGCAGTTCTCCGAGGAGGAGGTGGCGTCCAAGGTCGTGGAGCAGTACGACGAGGTGCACGCGCGCACGTTCTACAAGTACGTGATGGGCGGCGGCGGCTACGACATCCACTACGGCATGTTCCGCACGGCGTCCGACGGCGTCTTCGAGTCGTCGAAGAACACGAACGCGGCGCTCCTGCGCCTCCTCGACCAGACGCGGCCGGTGACGAAGGACAGCGTCGTCCTCGACCTCGGCAGCGGCCACGGGGGCCTGAGCCACGAGATCGCGACGACCTTCGGCTGCAAGGTCGTGTCCTTCAACATCTCGCCGGAGCAGAACAACATGAACCTCGAGGAGGCCGCGCGCCTCGGCGTCAAGGAGCTCATCTCCGTCGTCGAGGGCAACTTCAACGACGCCGCGACGTTCCCGCCCAAGAAGCTGCCCAAGATCACGCACATCGTCTCCTGCGAGGTCTTCTGCCACGCGGCGTCCAAGCCCGCGCTCCTCAGCGACATCTTCAAGATGCTCGAGCCGGGCGGCGCGCTCGTCTTCACGGACATCATGGGCGCGGACGGCGCGAACGAGAAGGCGCTCAAGGACTTCACGGACCGCAACGCGACGACGGAGATGGCGCGCCCGAGCGGCTACCTCCAGCAGATGAAGGACGCGGGCTTCGCGCACGTCGGCTTCTTCGACGGCAGCGGCCACCTCCTGCCCTACTTCGCCGCGATGCTCGACGTCTGCCTCAAGCAGGGCGACGACATGGTCAAGGACGGCGTGCCCCGCCCCTACCTCGACAAGTGGATCGCGTCCCTCACGGACCGCGTCAAGATCCAGGGCGACGAGGCCGTCTTCGCCTGGGGCCTCTTCTCGGCGCGCAAACCGGGGCCGCTCTACTGAGCTCGCGCACGCCCGCCGCAACAAGGCGCAACGCGCCGCCGCCGCGACGTCCTCGCGCCGGCGCCGCCGCGCGCCTCTTCCGCCCCTCCGCCCCGCGCGCGACGATAACCACCAGCTCCGAGTCGGACGGGGAGGTTTACACGCGCCTACTTGAAGTCCGGCAGCTGGACCTGGAGCGCGGGCTCGCAGCACTTGACGGCGTCGTCGCAGCGCGCGCAGAGCGTCGGGTGGTCCGGCGAGTCGCCGACGGAGTCCTCGTGGTACCAGCAGCGGAGGCAGCGGAGCGCCGTCGCCGGCGCGGCGCCGACCGTGGCCTTGGTCTCGCTGTCCTCGGCGGCGACGACGTGGGCCGCGTCGCAGGCCGCGAGCACGTCCGCGGGCGCGTCGACGAAGACGACGTCGGAGACGAGGAGGAGGAAGCGGAGGTCGTCGACGCAGTCCGGCGCATCGGCCGCGTGGGGCGCGATCTTGCCCGCGGCCGCGAGGGGCCCGAGCGCGGCCTCGAAGGCGGCCTTGAGCGCCGGGTCGGCCGGCGGCGCCGCGTAGACCGTCGCGTCGAGCGACGCGCCCAACACCTTGTCGCGCCGCGCGGCCTCGAGCGCGCGGTTCGCGTCGTCGCGGAAGGCGCGCACGGCGGCGAACGTGGCCTCCTCGTGCGCCGCGTAGGGCGCGAGGTTGGTTCCGTCCCAGGGGTCGCCGCGGAGGTCGAAGACGGAGCCGCGCTCCGCGCTGTAGGCGTCGCCGGCCGCGTAGGGTAAAGCCTGGAAGAGCTCCTCGGCGAGGTGCGGCAGCAAGGGCGCTAAAAGCCGCGGGAGCACGTCGAGGCAGGCCACGAGCGTCGCCATGCACGTCACGCGGCGGCCCGCCTTCGCCGGCGACACGTACATGCGGTCCTTGGCGACGTCGAGGTAGAGCGCGCTGAGCTCGTTGACGGCGAAGGCCGAGATCGCGCCGACGGCGCGCGAGAACTGGTAGTTCTCGTAGGCGTCGAAGCACTCGCGCTCGAGGGCGCCTAAACGGCCCAGGAGCCACTTGTCGAGGTCCGGCAGGGACGCGTAGGTGCGGGCGTCGCGCGCGTCGTAGGCCGCGAACGCGTCCGTGCCCCGCGTCGGCGCGCCGTTGACGTTGCCCGCCATGTAGCGGAGTGTGTTCCGCAGCTTGCGGTACTGCTCGAAGACCTGCTTCAGCGCGTTCTTGCCCAGGCGCACGTCCGCCGTGTAGTCGACGGACGCGACCCAGAGCCGGAGCACGTCCGCGCCGTACGGCGGGTCGACCTTGGCGTTCTTGCCGCCCTCGATGACGACCCGCGGGTCGACGACGTTGCCCAGGCTCTTGGACATCTTGAAGCCCTTCTCGTCGAGGACGAAGCCGTGCGTGAGCACGGCCTTGTAGGGCGCGCCTTTGTTGCCGCCGCCGGCCGCGCCGCGGCACGCGACGGACGTGAGTAAGGAGCTCTGGAACCAGCCCCGGTGCTGGTCGCTGCCCTCGAGGTAGAGGTCCGCGGGCGCGCCGCCGCCCTTGCCGAGCTCGGCGCGCTGCTCGACGACGCCGGCCCAGGACGTGCCGCTGTCGAACCAGACGTCCATCGTGTCCGTGCCCTTGACGTAGTCGTCCGCCGCGTCGCGGAGCTCGCCCGGCGGCAGCAGGTCCGCGACGTCGAGCTCGAACCAGGCGTCGGAGCCCTTCTCGGCCACGAGCGCCTCGACGTGCTCGAGCGTCTCCGGCGTCACGAGGGGCTCGCCCGTGGCCTTGGCGTAGAAGACGGGCAGCGGCACGCCCCAGCTCCGCTGCCGCGAGATGCACCAGTCGCCGCGCTGCTCCGTCATGGCCGCGATGCGGTTGCGGCCCACGGGCGGCGTCCACTTCACGGCGTCGATGGCGTCGAGCGCGTCCTGGCGGAACGAGCTCACGGACGCGAACCACTGGTCCGTCGCGCGCATGAGCACGGGCTTCTTCGTGCGCCAGTCGTAGGGGTAGCGGTGCTCGTAGGGCTCGGCCAGGAGCAGGTTGCCCGCGGCCTCGAGGCGCGCCGCGATCTCCTCGCCGCCGGCGCCGAGCACGGGCAGCCCCTCGAGGCCGTCGCCCGCGTCGGCCGTGAACTTGCCCGCGGCGTCGACGGGCGAGAACGGCGGCAGGTCGTGCTTCAGGCCCGTCTGGTAGTCGTCCATGCCGTGGCCCGGCGCCGTGTGCACGAGGCCCGTGCCCCCCTCGGACGTGATGTAGTCGCCGCCGACGACTACGGCCGCGGGCCTCGCGCCGAGCGCGCCGTTCGCCACGGGCCGCGCGTACGTCGTCCCCGCGAGCGCCGCGCCCTTGAGCGACCCTCGCACCGTCAACTCGCAGGCGAACTTGGCCGCCAGCGCGTCCACGAGGTCCACGGCGACGACCAGGGCGCCCTTCGGCGAGTCGACGACGGCGTAGTCGAGGTCGCCGTTCACCGCGACCGCGAGGTTCGCGGGCAGCGTCCAGGGCGTCGTCGTCCACACGGCGAGCTTCGCGTCCGCGCCGCCCGCGACGGCCGCGAGGCCCGCCGACGGCTCGAGCACGTCCAGGGCCGCGTAGACGGACGGCGACGTGTGGCCGTCCGGGTACTCGAGCTCGGCCTCCGCGAGCGCGGTCCGCGACGACGGCGAGTACCAGACGGGCTTGAGGCCGCGGTAGATGTGGCCCTGCTCGAACATGGTCGCGAAGACGCGGAGCTGCGCCGCCTCGTAGGCCGGCTGGAGCGTGAGGTAGGGCGCGTCCCAGTCGGCCCAGACGCCGTAGCGCCGGAAGCTGTCGCGCTGCGCGGCCACGGTCTCCTCCGCGAAGCCCGCGGCGCGCCGGCGCAGCTCCAGGGGCGTCAGGGGCGGCGGCGTCGCGCCCGTCTTCTTCTTGATCTTCTTGTTCTCCGCGTTGATCGCCTGGAGCACCTTGAGCTCGATGGGCAGGCCGTGGCAGTCCCAGCCGGGCACGTAGCGCACCTTGTCGCCCCGGAGCGACCGGTAGCGGTTGATGAAGTCCTTGAGCACCTTGTTGAGCGCGTGGCCGATGTGGAGGTCGCCGTTGGCGTAGGGCGGGCCGTCGTGGAGCGTGAACGCGGCGCCGGGCGCGTCGGCCCAGAGCCGCTCGTAGACCTTCGTGTCCGCCCAGAACTTCTGGAGCTCGGGCTCCTTGTTGATCGCGTTCGCGCGCTGGCCGAAGCTCGTCTCCGGCAGGAGCACCGTGCCCCGGTACCGGTCCTCGTCCTCGACGGCCTCCGGCGACGCCTGCTCCACGGTCGCCGCGCGCCGGCCGCCGGAGCGCTTCGCGAGGCCGCGCCGGGAGGCGCTGAACGCCGGGCGCAGGGACAGCGCGCGCGCCGTGGCCAGGAAAGCGAAGACCATCATCGTTTCAGAGGTGCTGGTCTAGGCCTCACTGTGCTGGCGCATGTCGCGATGAGTCGATGCACCTTCAAGCCCTTGCCCGGTTCGCCAGGCCGATATGGCACTCGTTGACTCTCTGAAACGCAAGGCAAAGAGCTCGACCTGCACGATGGACCAGCCCTAACGTTGGAGACCGGTGGAACCGCATGCCCGAACCGGCGGCGACGGCGCGCCTCGCGGCGCGCCTCGACGCCGCCGCGCGCGACTGCGGCGCCTCGAGCACTGGCGAGGTCGTCGTCCAGTCCCTGGCGGCCATCCGCTCCATCGTCGAGGCCGAGCTCGCGAAGGCGCAGTCCGACGCCGCCCGCGACGACGCGGCGCTCCTCGAGGGCTGCCTGAAGTTCGTCGAGTCGCGCGCGAAGCGGCTCGTGCCGCCGGAGAAGCGCGTGGGGCGGCGCGTGCGCGCGCTCGTCGCGGGCTCCGTCGGCGCGGCGTCGTCCGACGACGACGGGAGCGGCGACGACGGCGCCGACGACGACGACGACGACGCCGGCGGCGGCGGCGCCGCCGACGACGCGTCGCCCCAGAACGCGCGGTCGCGGCTCGTGTCCCTCGGGACCGTCGAGGACGCGAAGAGCGGAGGCCTCGACGACGACGACGACGCCGACACCGTCGGCGCGAAGACGACGCCCGTGCCCGCGGGCGAGGCGCCGACGAGCACGCCCGTGGAGAGCCTGGTGCCCGGGGGCGGCAGCCCGCCGCCGAGCGCCCTCGCGCGGCACCGCAAGTCGATGAACCTCGGCGACGCCGGCGACGCCGCGCACCAGTCGACGAAGCAGCGGGAGCTCGCGCGGCGCATGGCGCGCATGACGCGCCAGAAGAAGGCCGGCGGCGTCGCCGTGCTCGACTTGGAGGGCGCCGCGCACCAGCGGCGCAACTCGGCGACGGAGATCGAGTCGGCCATCGACCAGAAGCTGCTCATCGAGCGGCGGCTCCAGATCTGCGCGCAGGCCGCGAAGCAGGCCAAGGCCGCTTTGTCCATCCCCGTGGCGAAGATGACGGACTACCGGCCCCTGCTCCACGGCATCCTGCGGGACCAGCGGTCCCTCTGCGGCGACGTGGCCGCGGCGGACCGCGGCGACCCGGGCGCGCTCCGGAGGTCCATCCTGAAGCTCCAGAACCGGAAGACGCTGCGCGAGCGGCACCGCCTGCTGCGGCTGCTCCTGAGCGAGTCCTACGTCTTCCTCCACAAGAGCCCGCCCTGCGTCGTCTGGGACGTGTCCATCATGCTCCTGCTCCTCTACGTCATCGTCATGGTGCCCATCTTCATCGGCTTCGACTGGGACAGTGACGAGGGGGGAGTTGTTTATACAATCGGCATGATCGTCGACATCTTCTTCCTCGTGGACGTGGCCATCAACTTCAACCTCTCGTTCACGGACGAGTTCACGAAGGAGACCGTCGAGGACCGGCGCGTCATCGTCCGCCGCTACCTGAGCAGCTGGTTTTTGGTGGACCTCATGTCGTCGATCCCCGTCGGCGACGGGTCCGGGGGCAAGCACGAGGCGCTGAGCCTCATCAAGACGCTGCGGGTGCTGAAATTGATGCGCGTCGCGCGCGTCTTCCGGCGGAACGACATCGCGCTGACGCTGGGCTTCGACCTGAACCCGGCGATCATACGGTTGTCGGGCCTGCTCGTGCTCTTCTTCACGTCGACGCACGTCATCGGCTGCGCCTACTGGTTCGTCGCCAAGGCCACGGCCGGCGAGCGCGAGTGGGGCGCGGGCACGTGGCTCCCCGAGGAGGGCCTCTACGACGCGCAGGGCCGCGACCGCCTCCTGAAGCGCTACTGCGTCGCCGTGAACTGGGCCATCGCCTGCATGCTCTCCTACTCGACGCTCGCGGCGCCGGGCGAGATGCTCACGGTGCCCCAGTACCTCTTCTCGTTCCTCGTCGTTTTGTGCGGTTTGGTGACGCAGGCGGCGATCATCGGCGGCGTCACGAACTTGATCGAGTCCTTCGACGAGCGCGCCAACGAGCGGCGCAAGCAGCTCGAGGCCCTGGAGCGCTGGATGATGTACCAGCGCGTGCCCCTCCACCTCCAGGGCCGCGTCCGCGACTTCCACGAGTACCTGCTCGAGTGCGGCCACACGCGCGCGACGGACGAGCACCTCCGGTCGCTGCCCCAGTCGTTGCGCGAGAACCTGAACCTGAGCCTGCGGCGCCACCTCATCGAGGCCGTGCCCCTCTTCCGCGCGCTGACGACCTTCGAATTGATGGAGCTGCTCCACGCGGTCGACACGCGGATCACGGTGCCGGGCGAGGTCGTCGTCCGCGCGGGCACGTCGGGCGACGAGATGTACTTCGTCGCGCGGGGCCAGGTCGACATTTTAGACGGCGACCGGTCCGCGCGCATCGCGACGCTCGGCGTCGGCGCGCGCGCCGCCGCGCGGAATTTTATCGCCGGTTCGGGGCGTCGCCGCCGAACTTCGGGACGCTCGAGCTCGGCCGCGTCGACGTCGATGCGGCCGATGGTTGGACGACTCGAGTGCGCTCGTCGCGCGCTCGAAGCCGAGCCGAGGAGCTCGCGTCGAAACTGTCGCATATGCGCCCATGGACGTCGGGTTGAAGATTTGAATTCCACACAGGTACTTTGGGGAGGTCGCGCTCCTCGACCCGACGTTCGCGACGCGGACGACGACGGCGCGGTCCGTGGGCTACAGCGAGCTCATGGTGCTGGGCCGCGACGCGTTCAACCGGCTCTGCGACAAGTCCGCGGGCTTCGCGACGATCCTCTACGCGCTCGCGAAGGAGCGGCTCGAGCGGAACTACGACCGCGAGGCCGCGGAGGAGCGGTTCAAGGCGGCGGTCAACGACAAGAGCCGCGGCGCCGCGCGGCGCTCCGACGCGGCGCTCCTCGACCCGGAGCTCGCGAACAAGCACGCGGAGTCGCGCGACGGCAAGCGCGCGTCGGACCTCGAGTCCGCGGCCGCGCTGACGCGGCGCGGCGGCAAGCGGCGCCTCTCCGTCGCGAAGCGCGTCCGGGCGGCGCTGGGCCTCCGGGGCGCGTCGCGCGTGGAGCACGACGACGACGAGGTCGCCAACGACAACTTCCTCACGGTCTACGACATCCTCGAGGCCGACATCGTCGACACGAACTCGCGGATCCACGCGGAGGACGACGCGGCCGCGGCGCCGCCGGAGGACGACGCGAACGAGGGGCCGCCGCCGCCGGAGTCCGCGCGGGGGCTCCACCAGCACCGCCGCGCGTCCGTCACGGCCGCCGGCGGCGCGACGGGCCGGCTCAACCGGCCCACGATCGTCACGGGCCGCGGCCGCGGCAGCCGCCGGTCGTCCATGTTCGGCGGGGCCTAATCGCCCTTGGGTTTTCTATTGCCACGCGGGCCTCGGGGACTTCGATTGCCGGAACGACGGCTCCGACCGCGGCCGAGGATGCACGTTTGTAAGGCGTTCTCACATGCGCGCATCTACGGTTCGTGTTCCCGCGGGAGCGCCGCGCGGAGGACGAGGTCGATGACGTCGGGGTCCTCGAGGAAGCAGAGGTGGGCCGCGCGCCCGAGGACCGCGTCGACGGCGCGCGGCGCCGCGCGCGGCGCCGGGTCGACGACGACGCGCGCGACGTGCGTCGACGGCGCGGCGAGGAGGGGCTTCGCGAGGTCCGCGGCGAGGCGCACGTAGGCGTCGCCGCGCCGCGACTCGACCGCCGGGGGCACGGTGGCGAGCGCCGTGTGGAGCGGCACGTAGGCGTCGCCGGCCGCGGCGACGAGCGCGACGTGGGAGAAGCGCGCGAGGCCCGGCCGGTCGCGCGCGAGGCGCGCGAGGGCGCAGGCCTCCGGCGCGTCCGCGGAATCGCCGAGGGCGAGCTCCTCGAGGAGCGCCGCGGCGCCCGCGAGGCGGAGCGCGAGCAGGCCGGCGCCGACGAGCGCCTGTGTGCAAATCAACCAGTGAGCTGGGACGTCGGGGCCAAACTTCAGAATTCTCTAGCTCGGTCAAATCGAAGTCGATTCGGCTGATTTTTGGACGAGTCGATTGATCTCGTCGAGTTCTCGAAGCACAGCAGAAAACCTCGCGTCGAAACGGTCGCATACGCGCACATTGAAGTCGGGTTGAAGATTTGATTTGCACACAGACGAGCGCGGAGCTCTGGAAGACGCTGCCGCAGTGGGGCGTGCCGAGGCTCACGAAGGCGCGCGCGTGGGCGAGCGCGGCCGCGAGGCGGTCGTCGCGGAGCGCCGCGCGCGCGACGAGGCCGCCCGCGCTGTGGCAGACGAACGAGAGCCGGCCGTCGCCGCCGCGGCGGAGCAGCGCGGGCGCGCGCGCGCGGAGGAAGACGGCGACGGCGCCCGCGAGCTTCGCGCCCGCGGCGTCGAGGGACCCGTCGAGCGCGACGTCCGGCGCGAAGGCGAGCGCGTCGGGGAAGAGCGCGAGGAGCCGCGCGCGGAGGAGGCGCACGTCCGCGCCCGTCGCGCCCCAGCCGTGGACGACGACGAAGACGTGCGGGTCCCGCCGCGCGGCCCGCGCGCGCGGCGGCGCGCGGCTCCGCGCGTAGGACCGGCCCCGCTCCGGGTCGCGGCGCGCGTACGCGCGCCGCGCGGCGACGGCGCCGCGCGCCGCCGCGACGGGCGCGAGCGCCGCGGCCGGCGCCGGCGCCGCGCGCCGGGCCGCGAAGGCCGCCTCGAGCGCCGCGGCGTCGAGGGGCCGCAGGAGCTGCTGCACGCGCGCGTCCGTCGCGTCGACGCGCGCCGCGGCCGCCGCCGCGGCCTCGTCGTCGCGCCTCCGCAGGAGCGCGCCGGCGACGGGCGACCGCGACGCGCGCGCGGCATCGACGAACCGGTTCCAGGCGACGAAGATCTCGCCCTCGAGGGCGCGCGCGTCCCGCTCCAGCAGCGCCGCGACCGCGTCCGCGTCGCACTCGTCGTCGTCGTCGTCGTCCGACGATGACGGGTCGCACCCGTCGTCGTCGCCGTCGTCGGACGACGACGGCGACGACGGCGGCTCCGGCCGCGCGCGCGCGCCCGCGAAGTCGCGCGACGCGGCCTCGATGGCCGCGAGCGACGCCGCGAGGGGCCGCAGGTGGCCCCGCCGCGCCGCGCGCGCCGCGGACGCGGCGAGCCGCGCGTCGGCGCCCCAGAGCAGCGCGCGGAGCGTCGCGGGCCCCGGCGCGCCGCCGCGGGGCCGCCGGAAGCGCGACGCGAGGAGCGCGACGTGCGCCGAGACGTCGACGCGGCACGGGTGGCCGGGGAAGACGACGGGGCAGGCGCCGTGGCGCGCGGCGAGCCGGAGCGTCGCGGACGCGACGACGGCGAACTCCGGCGGCGCCGCGGCGAAGCGCTCCACGGGCGTGTCCGCGGACTCGTGGGCCGGGAGCGGCGCCATGGCGAGGGCCACGTGGACGTCGAAATGCGGCGGCGCGTCGCTCGCGCGCGTCACGCGGAACTGGGCCGTCTCGGCGACGTCGTAGCGCTCGTCCTCGTAGCGGATCGCGACCGCCCGCGTCTGGAACGCGTCGCCGACGCACGCGGCGCCGGGGAGCTCGCCGTCGTCGGCGAGGGCGGGGATCTCGTCGCCGGAGCGCGTGAACGACGCGCGGGTCCGGGGCTCGCTCGAGAAGGCGTAGGGCTTGCCGGCGATGTCGTCGGTCGTCTTGATGGAGACGCGGAAGAGGTAGAGGCCCTTCGCGGCGAGATCCAGATTCCTGAACTCGCCCACGTGGACGGCGACGTCGTAGACGCGTTGCATCTCCTCAGGACGCCGTCGGCCCACCGCCGCGGCCGCCGCGCCGCGCGTACAAGCCGTCGAAAAGTCGCCAAAAATTATTACCACAAGCGCTCCCACGCCCCGAGCCTTAGCCGCCTCGGCAGCCAAGCCCGAAGGACGCACGCGATGGAGGTCGAGGCCGCCGAGCCGTGCGACGACGACGCGCCGACGCCGACGCCGGCGGTCGACGCCGGCGACGAGGCCTGCGGCGACGCCGGCGACGAGCCCTGCGGCGACGCGCAGGGCGAGGCGCCGCTCGACGCCGGCGACGCGCCCGACGACACGCTCACGACGACGCTCGACGCCGGCGACAACATCCTGGCGACGCTCGTGCTCGGGCCCGAGCGCGACGACGAGGGCCTGGGCTGCCGCGTCGTCGACCTCGTGAGCGAGGAGGAGTCGAAGGACGGCGGCGGCGTCGGCCCCGGGCGCGCGCTCCTGAGCCTCAACGGCCAGGGCTGCCGCGACCTCGACTTCGTGCACATCCTCCAGTTCCTCAAGGAGGCCGGCGGCCTGCCGCGGCCCGTCACGCTCGTCTGGGGCGCGGCGGGCGCCGGCGGCGACGGCGCCGCGGCGGCGCCCGACGACGCGCCGGCGGAGAGCTTCTACGGGCGCCGCGCCGCGGGGCTCATGCGCGGCTTCGGCAAGAAGCTGACGAGCGGCGCGCGGTCCGCGCGGCTCGGCGCGGCGGAGCTCGCGCAGCGCGCCGCGACGCCCGAGCCCAAGGCCGCGGCGCCGCGCGCGCCGGCGACGCCCGAGCGCGCGGAGCCGCCGGACGCCGCGGCGCTCGCGGCGCGCGTGGCCGACCTCGAGGGCGCGCTCCGGGCCGCGGCGGCGGACCTCGCCGCGGCGGACCGCGGCGTCGCGGACCGCGACGCGCGCGAGGCCGCGGCCGCGCGGCGCGCGACGTCGCTCGAGAACGAGGTCCGGACGCTGCGGGCGTCCGTCGCCGCGCGCGACGGCCGCCTCGAGGCGCTGCGGGACAAGTACGACGCCCGCGAGCGCGACCTCGAGACGGCCGCGGCGTCGCGGAGCGACGAGGCGGGCGCCGCGGCGGCGGCGCTCGAGCGCGCGCGGGCCGAGGAGCGGCGGTCCTTCGACCGGGAGCGCGCGCGCCTCGGCGACGCGGCCGCGGCGGCCGAGGCCGACGCGGCGGCCGCGCGCCTCGACGCCGAGGCCGCGGGCCTCGCCGCCGCCGCGGACCGGCGGCGCGACGCGGCGGCGCTGCGGGCGTCGGACGCGGCGCTCGCGGCGGCGGCCGCCGCGGCCGCGCGCGCCGCGGCCGACGCGCGGCGCGCGGCGCGCGACGGCGACGCGCACACGGCGCGGTCCAACGCGCTGCAGCGCGCCCTCGAGTCCATGAAGCACGACCTCGCGCGCGCGCAGCGCCAGCACGACGAGGGCCGCGGCGCCGCGGAGCGGGCGCGGCTCGAGCTCCGCGAGTCGCGGGACCACCTCGCGAGGGCGCTCGAGGAGAAGGAGGAGTGGCGCGAGCTCGCGGCGGCGCCGGCGGCCGTGGACAAGCTCGGCAAGGCGTCGGCGAAGGAGCACGAGCTCCGGCGCCTCATCGCCAAGCTCACCTTCTCGCTCCAGGAGAAGGACATGCAGCTCGACGCGCAGCGGCAGACGAACCGCGCGCTCTCGGACGCGCTCGCCAAGCACGACGCCAAGGCCGGCGCGAGCCGCGGCGGCGCGCGGCGCCGCACGCCCCCGGCCCGGCCCCCGGACGCGCCGGGGCGGTCGTAACTAGAACGCGCGCCGACGCGGTCGCCGCCGACGCCGGCAAGCATCACTTCAAGGCGCTTCGTGAACCCGCGCAGCGAGCGTGCTCTCGTGCCCGCGCTCTGGACTGGTGCACTCACCGTGCGCATATTCAGAGGCTCGTTGTGCTGCGCCCGTCGCAGTCCCCCACGCGCGCGCCCCGCGTCCGACGACGGGCGCGCGGAAGTCACCCGCAACACCAATCGTAGGCTCCACCATTCGCGTCTCCCGCCTCTTCCTGCTCCAGGGCGCCGCGGGCTTCGCGCGCCTCCGCCCGTCGCCGGCGCTTCGGTTCGGCCGCAGGATGAGCGCCTTCACGGAGGGCGTCTGCGACGGCGACCCGCACGCGTCGCTGGAGACCGTGCTCGACGCGGACAACCTCAAGTGGGTCGAGGCGCGAAACGCCGAGGCCATCGCGCGCGTCGGCGACCCGTCCAAGACCAAGACCTTCGAGCGCATCCTGGGCTGCCTCGACAGCAAGGAGAAGATCCCCGGCGCCTACGAGATCGGCGAGCCCGGCGAGGGCCGGCTCTACAACTTCTGGCAGGACGACGAGCACGTCCAGGGCATCTGGCGGTCCACGACGGCGGAGTCCTTCGCGACGGCCTCGCCCGAGTGGACGACGGCCCTCGACCTCGACGCGTTGGACCCGCCCGAGTTCGGCGACACGGCCGCGACCTGGGTCTGGCACGGGTCGTCGCTCCTCGACGACGGCAACCACGACCGCGCGCTGATCTCGCTGTCGCCCGGCGGGTCCGACGCGGACACGACGCGCGAATTCGACCTGACGACGAACGCCTTCGTCGATGCGAAGGACGGCGGCTTCGCCATGCCGACGCCCGCCAAGACCCAGATCGCCTACCGCGGCCGCGACGAGTGCCTCGTCGGCACGGACTTTGGCGGCGACGGCTCCGCGTTGACGGACAGCGGCTACCCGCGCGTCGTCAAGAGCTGGAAGCGGGGCACGCCCCTCGACGACGCGGTGACGGTCTTCGAGGGCGAGAAGCAGGACATCGCCGCGTCGCAGTACTGCTACAAGGACCGGGGCGTCCTCCACGAGTTCCGCGTGCGGTCGCTGACGTTCTACACGTCCAAGCACTGGTACCGGTCCCCGAAGGCCGGCGCCCTCGCGCACGAGGACGCGACGCCGTTCGCGGAGGTGCCCATCCCCGCGGACGCGAACATCGGCACCTTCGGGGCCTGTGCGCTCGTCACGCTCCGGAGCGACTGGACCGCGGGGGGCGAGACCTACGCGCAGGGGAGCCTGCTGAGCGTGGATTTGGAGGCGCTCGTCGCGGGCGATTTGAGCAACGTCACAGCGCTCTTCACGCCCACGGAGGCGCGGTCCCTGGAGGACACGACGGAGACGAGGGACTTCCTCGTGCTCAAGGTCCTCGAGGACGTGCGCACGAAGCTCGTGACCTACAGATACGCGGCCGGCGCGTGGTCGCTCCACGACGACGGCTCCGGCGGCGCCGTCGGCGTCGGCGAGGACGTGGCCGTGCAGGCCGTGAACCGCCGCGCGGACGCGGACAACAAGGTCTACGTCTGGCGCGACGGCTACCTCGTCGTCGACGTCCTCGAGACCGCGGACGCGGCGGACCTCGCGGCGACGACGGTCCTCAAGACGAAGCCCGCGATGTTCGACGCTTCCGGGCTGACCGTGGACCAGCACTTCGCGACGTCGGCCGACGGCACGAAGGTGCCCTACTTCGTCATGCGCCGCGAGGACCTCGCGTTCGACGGGTCGAACCCGACGCTCGTCGACGCCTACGGCGGCTTCGAGATCTCGCTCACGCCGGGCTACTCCGCGGGCGTCGGCGTCGGCTGGCTCGAGCGCGGCGGCGTCAAGGTCATCGCCAACATCCGCGGCGGCGGCGAGTACGGCCCGCGCTGGCACCAGGCCGCGCTCAAGGCGAAGCGGTTCAAGGCCTACGAGGACCTCGAGGCCGTCGCGCAGGACGTCGTCGACCGCGGCATCTCGTCGCCGCCCAAGCTCGCGGTCATCGGCGGCTCCAACGGCGGCCTCATGGTCGGCAACGCCATCACGCGGCCCCGGGCGTCCGCGCTCTTCGGCGCCGCGGTCTGCCAGGTGCCCCTGCTCGACATGAAGCGCTACTCGCACCTCCTCGCGGGCGCGTCGTGGATGGCCGAGTACGGCGACCCGGACACGGACGACTGGGCCTTCCTCCGCGACCACAGCCCCTACCAGAAGCTCCGCCACGACCGCCTCGGCATCCCCGAGGACGGCGAGGGGGCCGCGGCGCCGGACGCGGACTGGACGTGCCCGCGCGTGCTCTTCACGACGAGCACGCGCGACGACCGCGTCCACCCGGGCCACGCGCGGAAGATGGTCAAGGCCCTCCTCGACGAGGCGCCCGAGGACAAGGTGCCCCTCTGCCTCTACTGGGAGAACACGGAGGGCGGCCACGGCGGCGCCGCGGACAACAAGCAGCGCGCGTTCATGTGGGCGCTCACCTACAACTTCCTCGCCGACGTCCTCGGCCTCGAGTGAAACGGGGGAGGCGCGCCTAAGAAGGAGCCAAGAGCGCCGAGTCCCGAGCGGCGACTCGGGCGTCAACGTCGCTGATTTCTGGGGGGGGCGCGCCGAAGAAGGAGCCAAGAGCTCCCGGACCGAGTCGTGCGCTCGGCCTCGCGAGGCAGGCCTGCACTTGGCCTCCGTGCGAGGCGAGCGCGGCAACATCGCGTCAACGTCGCCCCGAAGCACCTAGGTCCCCGTCTCCGCGAGCCGCCCGCGCCGCCGCCGCGCCGCCCGCCGCCAGCGCGCGCCCCAAACCCGCCCGGACCACCCGCGCACGCATATCCGCCGCCGCCGCCGCCGCCGCGCACGGCCGCACCGCTCGGCCCGCGCGCGCTTCGACGCGCCCGCCGGAATGGCGTCCTCGGAGTTCTACCTGCGCTACTACGTCGGCCACAAGGGCAAGTTCGGCCACGAGTTCATGGAGTTCGAGCGCGTTCCCGGCGCCCGGGCGCGCGCGACGCCCCGACGCGCGACGCGGGCGCGCCCCCGCAGGTTCGCGCCGAACGGCAAACTCCGCTACGCGAACAACTCCAACTACAAAAACGACACGATGATCCGCAAGGAGGTGACGGTCTCCGCCGCGGCCCTGCGCGAGGTCGAGCGCATCGTCGCCGACTCCGAGGTCACCAAGGAGGACGACAACCAGTGGCCCGAGCCCGACCGCGTCGGCCGCCAGGAGCTCGAGATCATCTCCGGCGGCGAGCACATCTCCTTCACCTGCAGCAAGATCGGCTCGCTCCTCGACGTCCAGGAGTCCAAGGACCCCGAGGGCCTCCGTTCGCCACGCCCGCGTCCGTTCGTGGAACCGCGCGCCTTCGTCGACGCGCCGCCGCTCGCAGGTTGCTTCTACTACCTCGTCCAGGACCTCAAGTGCTTCGTCTTCTCCCTCATCGCGCTCCACTTCAAGATCAAGCCGATCCCGTGATGGGGCGCGTAGGGGGCTCGTAAAGCACTGGGCGCGCATTTCGATATTGAAGGCGGCAACTTTGAGGCAACTTTAGCCAGCCTTGGAGGCACTCCCGTCCTAGGTTCCACTTTACTGCCGTAATTCGCCGGCGAGTGCGAGTTTGCTTGCTTTGCCGGAGTCGTCGCGAGTTTTTGCGTTTGCCGCAGCTCGATTTGCCGGCGCCGCTACTTGGGGAAACGGCGAGTTTCCGTGGTACATTGAAGTAAAGTTGTACCTCAACTTGAAGCAAACTACGATAAATTGGCTGCCAAGCCCCTCACACAACCAGCGCCGTCATCGCAGGAGGAACCGCGAAGCGCCGTAATATCCGCGCCAATAAAGCAGAGCTTATTTCGGTCATTTCCGCGCGTCACGCGCGCCGCGTAGTACGCGGGACGCCACGGCTTGAAGGGCCTCTCGGCCGCCGGAAAACCGGCCCGGCGGCAAACTCGCCGGCCGCAAATCACCGGCAAAGTCAAACTCGAAAAACTCGCCCCTGGAGCGGCAAAGTTTTTACGGTAAAATGGAACCTAGCTCCCGTCCGAGGTGGGCGGCGCAGCCTCTCCGCAGCTCGCGGTTGTGGAACGCTGCAAATCATGGCCGACGCCGCCACCAAGTGTGGGCTGCTTGCCTGCGGCGCGGCCGTGGGCGCGGCCGTCGCGTGGAAGCTCGCGCACCGCCCCTACACGCCGCCCAAGAAGTGGACGGCGCCCGCCGGCGGCTCAGGAGGCAAGTGGGCGTCGATCAATGCCGAGACGTCGGGCGCGCGCGAGGAGAAGGCGCTGCCGGTCGGCGACCACGACGTCCAGCTCTACAGCCTTGGCACGCCGAACGGCGTGAAGGTGACGATCCTCCTCGAGGAGCTCGTCGGCATCCTCCCGGGCTTCGAGTACGACGCGTGGCTCACGAAGATCGGCGGCGACCAGTTCGGCAGCGGCTTCGTGGCCATCAACCCGAACAGCAAGATCCCCGCGCTCTACGACCGGTCGACGGAGACGCGCGTCTTCGAGTCGGGGTCGATCCTCGTCTACCTCTGCGACCGCTACGACACGAAGGGCGAGTTCCTGCCGCTCGAGGGCCCGGAGAGGACGGAGTGCCTGAACTGGCTGTTCTGGCAGATGGGTTCCGGCGGCTACCTCGGCGGCGGCTTCGGCCATTTCTACTCCTACGCGCCGGTCAAGATCAAGTACGCGATCGACCGCTTCACGATGGAGGCGAAGCGCCAGCTCCACCTCCTCGACTCCGTGCTCGCGACGAAGAAGTTCCTCTGCGGCGAACGCTTCACCATCGCGGACATGGCCGTCTACCCCTGGTACGGCAAGATCGCCCAGGGCTCGCTCTACGGCGCGAAGGAGTTCCTCGACGTGGATACCTATCCGAACCTGATCCGCTGGGCCGAGGACTGCGCGGCGCGGCCCGGCGTCGTCCGCGGCAACAAGGTGAACCGGACCTGGGGGAAGCAGGCGGACCAGCTGCACAACCGCCACGCGCGGTCCGACTTCGACGCGCTCCCAAAGGACGAGTAAGACTCGGCGCCAGTCCGCGCCGTCGAGCGCGGCGACCTTCTTCGGGCGCGGGTGGCGCTGCCCGCGGTGACCCCCAGCTCGCGTCCCGCGCCGCCTCGAGCACCGTCGTCGGCCTGGGCGTCGCGGTCAAGGCCTACGTCTTCGTCGTCGTCAAGTCCATCCCTGGGTCGTCGCGCTCGGCCGCGCCAAGGCCGGCGGCACCGTCGGGCGCTACATCTACGGGCGGCTCGCCGAGGCGCTGCCCGGCGCCATCGTGCGCGCGCCGCTCGAGCTGCCGAAGATCCTCGCGAAGCGCGCGAAGAAGCTCGGCGGTGCGCCTCGACGCGGGACGGCGACGGCGATGTCGACGTCGACGACATCTTCCGACTCACCGTCGGGAAGCTCCGCCGCGCCGCACGTGCCCCACCGGAAGCACGACGATTACATGGTCGGGCCCCGGCTTGGGCTTCACGGCGACCTCGCCTGGTCCGTGGCGATGGACTTTATCGCGCACCGCGACCGCGCCCGGCCCCTCCGACTCCCTGCGTAATTGTCTTACGTCGACCTACGCGTCGGGTTTGCTTGCCCGAGTGGAATTGGAGTGCTTGCCCGCGACGATGCGCGCCTGCGCACGCCGCAGAAGCTCGCGCAATTTTTCTCTGAAAGACGCGTCGCGCCTTGCAGGGAGGTCGCGGACACGAGCACCGTAACGCTCGCGGAGGAAGCGACGCCAAGCCGCGTAGCGCGGCGCAAGCGCCCGGCGCGCCTGTGCGGCGCCTTCAGTCTCGAGGAGGGCGCCGCACGAAAGGAGCGCGTAGTACGGCGGGCACGTGCACACTGGGTCTGCACCTTGTTTGGCCGCGCGTCTCGCGGCCCACTCCTCGGCGTCGCGCACGGTGTTGACGACGACAACCTCATCACCGAGGCTCGCCAGCAGCTCGGGCACAAGGATCGCATACGGCACGTCAACGAGGACCTCGAGACCGCTCGTCAGCACCGGCGCCAACAGCGCCCGGGCCTCGTCTTCGGCGCCCCGTCGTCCGAGCTTCTCCTCGTACCATCGAACGAGGCGCTGGTGCGCCTCGACGGCGGCCGGCGGCGCGTGACAGCACAGCCGAAAGTGACAGGAGGCCATGCCCAAGGAGCACGCGATCTCGTGCACCGCGTGCGTTGCCGTCGTGCCCAGCCCCGCGTTGACGACACGCACCGTCGACGCATCGTTCGTCGCCGCCACAAACTTCGGGCCAGCATAGGCTCCGCACGAGGCGTTGCCGTCGGGCTTGAACCGCTCGGCGACGACGTTGCCGTCGAACGCGGACCGCTCGGCGACGACGTTGCCGTCGAACGCGGACCGCTCGGCGACGACGTTGCCGTCGAGCTTGGAGTGCTTGCCCACGACACGTTGATTCTTCAGGGCCAAGACAATTTGTGAGAGCATCTCTGTTCCGTCCCGCCAATCTAGCATCTGAACATAGCGCTCCATATTATTTTGTCTGCTAGAGATTTCTTTCTTTGAAATTTTTCGAAGGCGCCTCACCGTGAGACGCGGATCGCGAGACCATTCATCCTCTGAGACCGTGATGGCAAACTCCGCGTAAGGTACTACATCAGGAAATGGCAGGTCGATCTTGTCGCTAATTATCACTGGTAGGCAACCAGCGATCATGGCATCAAAGAGTCTGCGGCTGCTTGAGGTATCTCCGCGGGGGCAAAAACACCACTTGGCGTGCATCATGATTTCAGCATACAAGGGGGTGGTGTGGTTTCTGCTGGGGTATGCCCATTTGATCATAACACCTTTCTCTGATTCCAACTGCACTAGTGCACGACGCACCCGATCTTTAAAGCGGCCATGATCCCTGCGATTCCCAAGAAATGCAAAATCGACAAATTTTGGATATCGATTCCGTCGAATCTCGTGGTGAGCAGAGTAAGGAACAACGATCCCATGTGCTTTGACATCGTACGGCGGACGAACCCACCGAGGAACTAATTCATTGATGAGCAATCGCGCTTTGCGCTCTTGTAAAACTCTCCAAAGTTGTTCATTTCGCAGTGCCGACTTGCATGTCCATGAGGCACATATAAACGCAATGCGAGCAGTCATTTCTCTGCGGTTCAACCATTGCAAAACCTCCTGCTGTCTATGGTCGTGTTCCACGCCGCGGCAATTCCCTACGGCATGGCTGAGCACAGGGAAGGTATCGAGTATGACCACATCAGCTTCGGAGAGTTTGGAAGTTCTCCAGCCGGAATCGACGATTTGCTGGTATAGATAGTACTCGCCCAAATCTTCAGGAATGTAACCATGGAGCCCGGGCAATTTCCCATTCTCTGAAAACGGGGTCGTGTTCCAGCGGTCTTGAAAGCAGCCGAGCAGCGTAGCAACAGGCTGGGTAAAAGTCTTCAAATAAATCTTATAGATTCGAGACGATGGCGCTCCAGACGCCCATGACGCCGCCGCCGACGACGATGACGTCGTATTTTTTCGAAGCGTACATTCGATCGCGGTTCCACGCTCATCGCTTTTGAAATTGTGGTTGTTGGAGCGCTTCACTCGAGTATAGGCGCAATCCTCATCTCCCACGAAACGAAGTAGTTCGTTGAACCGGCTCACTGAAAAAGTCTCGAGAGGCAGATCAAAATGCTTGTATTTGGAGTTTGAGAGCAAGTCATTACGTAATTGCAAATCGTGCTCTTCGATTCCTTGTTTTGCAAACATAGGCTTTGACGAGAATTCCGCATGGACATCTAATCTATAATTGTGAATGTATCGGGCACAAGGAAAAACACGGCGCAGCCATTCAAGCCTCTGCCTGCTGATTGCTGCATGCAAAGTTTTGAACCCAATCAGCCTGGTATTGGGTGGAATGGGCCCAAGAGCTGCCTTCACCGCGTGCTGAATCTCGCAGAGAACGACCTCTTCTTCAACTCTCGCGTGCGTTTGGAAAGGCCACCGCGTAGATTTTTATACGTGGCAGTCTCGTAGTAATGGAAGAGCGCATCTATGAAATCGTCCTTGTTTCGGGACACACGCTCGCCCGCGAAGTACACGCCGGGAACTTCGTTCAACATATCCACGATGGTAGTGCTCCCCGATCGCCCATTCGCAAGAAGAACAACCCATTCGTCCACGCATAAACAGCTCGCCTTGCTTGCCGCGGGCTCCGCGGTCGGTTTCTTGTCCAGCTTGACGCCCCCCGCCGCCGTGGCGAAGGTGAAGGCGCAGGAAAGTACGGTCGCGCGGATGATGACGTGCATGGTCGAGATTGCGGGTGCCTGCGGGGGAATCGACGCGGTTCCGCGGCGACGATCGACGGACGAGGCGCGCGAATCAGGGGTTGAAACCTTTCAGGTACGTCCGCCGACGGCCGGGAGGCCGGCCGCCGGCCGCGCCGCGCAAGAGCGAGTCGCTCTTCGCCGTCGTCGAGGTGCCCGCCGCGGACCACGCCGCCGGCGGGCCGCGAGGTGGGAGGCCGGGCTTGCATGCGCTTGGCGTGCACCGAGGACTCGAAGACGTAGCGGAGCGGGTCCGGTCGCGCCGGCCGCCGGCCGCGCCGCGCAAGAGCGAGTCGCTCTTCGCCGTCGTCGAGGTGCCCGCCGCGGACCACGCCGCCGGCGGGCCGCGAGGTGGGAGGCCGGGCTTGCATGCGCTTGGCGTGCACCGAGGACTCGAAGACGTAGCGGAGCGGGTCCCGGCGCGCCGGCCGCCGGCCGCGCCGCGCAAGAGCGAGTCGCTCTTCGCCGTCGTCGAGGTGCCCGCCGCGGACCACGCCGCCGGCGGGCCGCGAGGTGGGAGGCCGGGCTTGCATGCGCTTGGCGTGCACCGAGGACTCGAAGACGTAGCGGAGCGGGTCCCGGCGCGCCGGCCGCCGGCCGCGCCGCGCAAGAGCGAGTCGCTCTTCGCCGTCGTCGAGGTGCCCGCCGCGGACCACGCCGCCGGCGGGCCACCGCCGCCCCCCGGGGCGACGACGACCGCGCCCCGGGGGGTGACGCCTCCCCCCGGGGGCGGACGGGCGCGATCGCGGTCGTGGAACGTTTTTTTGGGGGATGGCGCGGGCGGCGGGAAGGGGGCGTAAAAGCGGGGCTTTTCGGGGAGGGGGACTTGTTGGGACGCCGGGAGGCTACGAGAGAAGTACGAGGTGTGGCGTGCGGTGAGCGTGGAAGGTCGAGTTGAGGCGCGAACTCGTCGTGCTTTTGGCGCTCCGCCGTCGGCGGCCGAGGCGCTCCTCCACTTGCGCCGACCCGATTATCCCGATTCGCCGAAAATATGGTATTTTACCACTTCGGTGCCAACGCCTGTGCCAAAATCCTATGGCTAGATGGCATCACGACTTGCATCACGGACAGCCCCGTCGAGGGAACCAACCTCCTAGAGTCGAAGCCTCTCGACTGAAAACTGCCGCCGTAGGGCCGGTTCCGTGCCTCGAGATCCGCCTCCTACTCGATTTGGGGCCCCGCCGACCCGTAGGTGGTCGAGATTCCTGTGTTATTTGGTGCGGCTAGTCGCCCACGCCCCCGGGGTGCTTCGGTCCGCCGAGAGAACGAGAAGAGACGACTCAAAACGACCGACCGTCGTGGCATCGGTTCGGAGCCCGGAGATACGGCCCGTTCGCGAGTACGGGCCCCGCGCGGCCTCGGGCCGAGGTAGGCCGCCGGGTAAGTCGTCGAGTCCTAAAGTAAGCCGTCAGGTAAGTCGTTTTGGCCGAATGTAAGTCGTAAGTAACGGGTTAGGTAAGCCGTTGCGTCGGACCCCGCCCACGTCCTCAACCCCCACCCCCGCACCCCTCCTCTTCGCGCCGCGCCCCCGCGCCGCCGTTTCTGCGCGCGTGCCAGGTCCCGAGGGCGGGGTAGCGGCGGTAGCCGCAGCAGAGAGCTTCGCGAGCCGACGCGCTACCGCGACTGTTACTCCGCGCCGTAGCGGTCCGCGTCCTTTTCGTCGAGGAAGCCGGACTTCGTGACGAAGAAGGGCGTGCCCTTGGCCTCGAAGCTCACGAAGGGCCGCCAGGTCGTCGGCTGGCGCTCGATGTCCGCCACGGAGAAGTCGTGCGTCGTCCGCCGCGCGAGCAGGTTCATGCGCGTCGCGCGGACTCGCTCGCCGTCGCTCCGGAGCTCGAACACGAACGGCAGCGTGCACCAGTGGAGCGCGAAGGTGGACCCGACGCCGGCGAAGACGGCCGTGCCGCCGACGGCGAGCTTGCCGAGGGCCGACACGGACTCGCTCGACTTGAAGAGCACCGCCATCGCTGGCATGAGCAGCGACGACGAGAGCGTGGTCACGCTCACGAGCTTGATGCGCTTCACGACGCCGTTCATGGGGCCCTCGTAGATGAGCGCCATGGCCTCCGGGTCGTCGTCCGGTTCGGGCGCGTCGGCCGCCGCCGTCGAGAGGCAGCGGAGCTGCGGCGCAGCGGCCCGCGGCGAGCGCCACGAGGCGTCCGGCGCCGGCGATGCGCTTCGCAGGGCCGTCGAGAGCGGCGCGGTGGTCGATGACGTGCTTCGTGCGATCGACAAACAGCGCAGCGGCCCGGTGGCGCGGGCGGCAGGCCTCACAGCACGACTCAACATCGCGAAACGACTCGAAGTGCCACAAGAGGAGGGCGAGATGAGGGCGCGGCAGATCAGCCGCAGCATGGAGATCAGCGAGTAGCATGGCCGACTTCGAGGACCAGACGCGGTCCCTGGAGCGCGAGCTCGACGGCCTCTTCGCGTCCGTCTCCGTGTCCCTGGCGCCGTCGGTCGTCGAGGCCCTCGCCGACGAGCAGATCGACCGGGAGGCGCTGCTGGCGCTGCGGCCCGACGACCTCGTGGAGCTCAACCTCGACGGCGAGACGGAGCGGCGCGTGCTCGAGGCGCAGAGGCTGCTGAGCCGCGAGGCGTCGCTCGAGGCGCTGCTCGACGCCTTCGTCGCCGAGGCCGACGCCGCGCAGGCCGAGCTCGCGGGGCGCGACGAGGCGATCCGCGCCGCCGTCGAGCGCTGCGTGCGCCGCGAGCGGGCCTTCGGGCCCGAGGCCACCGTCGAGCTCTTCGGCTCCGCGCTCAACGGCCTCCGCGTGGGCTGGTCCGCGGACGTCGACCTCTGCGTCCGGTCGCCGGCGCACGCGCGCGACGCCGACGCCGCGCGGCGCGCGGCCGACGAGGCCGCGGCCCTCGAGGCCGCGTCGGGCGCCGTGGCCATCGCGCGGCGCGCCCGGGACTGCGCGTCGAAGCTGCGGACCGCGCGCGACGCCGCGGCCCGCGCGGCCGCGCGGCGCCGCGACGCCGAGGCCGCGGGCGACGCCAAGGCCGCGGCGCGCCACGCGGAGCGCGCGGCGCACCACGCGGACCGCGTGCCCGACCTCGAGGCCGACGACGCCGCCGCGCGCGCGGCCGCGACGCCCGCCGTCGACGCGGCGGTGCGGGCGCGGGAACGGGCGGACCGCCTCGCCGACAAGTGCAAGAAGGTCGTCTACCCCCTGTCGAAGGCGCTCCGGGCCGCGGGCGGCTTCGCCGACCTCGAGGTCGTGCGCCACGCGCGCGTGCCCCTCGTCAAGGCCTCCTTCCGGGGCGTCGCCGTCGACGTCGTGCCGGGCAACGATCTAGCCGTCGTCAACAGCCGCCTGCTCCGGGCCTACTGCGGGCAGCGCGACTGCCGGCGGCTCTGCCTCCTGGCGAAGCGCTGGGCGGGCGCGCGGGGCCTGAACCGGGCGCCCGACGGCTTCCTGAGCTCCTACGCGCACACGCTCACGGTGCTTCACTTTTGCCTCGTCGAGGGCGTCCTCGCCCGCGCGGACATCGACCGCCGGTTCGGGACGTCCCGACCGAACTTTGAAATCCTCTCGCTCGGTCGCATCCGAGTCGATTCGGCTGATTTTTGGACGGATCGATTGCGCTCGCCGAGCTCTCGAAGCACAGCCGACGAGTCCGGCGCCGTCCGTTCGATTACGCTCACATTGAAGTCGGGTTGAAGATGCGACGTCCGCGCAGGTCCTCGCGGGCGACCTCCACGCGGCCGCGGCGCGCGCGGGCGCGCCGAAGGCGTCGCTCCGGGGCCTCGACGTCACCTTCGTCGACCCGGGCCCGCTGCCGGCCTGCGGGCGGTCCCTGCCCGGGCTGCTGCGGGCCTACTTTGCGTACATGGTCGCCGCCGCGAAAGGCGACGCCGCGTTGAGCTGCCGCGCGCGCGCGCCGGGCGACGGCGCCAAGGGCGGCGCCTACCGCTTCCCGAAGGCGCGCTGGAAGCACAAGTCCGAGGCCGCGGCGGCCCAGTGCGCCGCGCGGCTCAGCGTCGAGGACCCGTTCCTCGCGCACGACGCGCCTCGGAGCCACGACGTCGCGGCGACCCGCGTGGACATCAAATCTTCAACCCGACTTCAATGTGCGCGTATGCGACAGTGTCGACACGAGCTCTTCGGCTGGGCTTCGAGAACTCGACGAGAGCGATCGATCCGTCCAAAAATCAGCCGAATCGACTTCGATGTGACCGAGCTCGAGAATTCTCAAGTTTGGTCGGGACCGCCCAAACCAGCGGTCGAATTCCACGCAGGCGGCGACGCTCGACGCGCGGCCCTACAGGGAGCTCAAGGCCGAGTACGCGCGCGCGCTCGCGCTGCTCGACGGCGACGCCCCCGTCGAGGAGACGGCCGCGGCGCTCTTCGCCGTCAAGGGCGCGCGCGGCGCCGCGCCGCCGAAGTGGCGCGCGCGCGACGGCCGCCGGCCGGACGCGCGCGACGACCGCCGCCGCGCCGCCGAGCCGCCGCGGGCCGCGCCGCCGAGGCCGGCGCCGGCGGCCGCCGCGCCGCCGCCGCCGCCGCCGAAGAGGAGCTACGTGCCCCTGAGGCAGGCTCGGGCCGCGCCGCCGCGGCCGGCGGCGAAACGCGCTCCGCCGGGGAGCCCGCCGCCCGCGGGCATCGAGATCGACCTCGCGCCGCTCCTCACGGCGGCGCCGAAGAAGCAGAAGGGCGGCCGGGGCCGGGGCCGGGGCCGGGGCGCGGCGTAACCGTCGAGTCGGGTACTTCAAGTTACGCGGCGCGTCAGAAGGCGAGCTTCTCGCAGACCTTCCAGTGGGCGCTGGGCCGGCGGAGCGTGGGCTTGGGCCCCGGGTCGGAGCCGTCGCTGTCCGGCGCGTAGGCGTCGCAGACGCCCCGGTCCGAGTCCGGCGACTCGGGCGCGGCGTCGCCGCCGCGGCGCGCGGTGACGCGCGACGCCGCGAGGACCGCGGCGCGCGCGAGGGACGCGGCGGTCTCGCAGAGGGAGTCGCGGGGCGGCCCCGCGGCGGCCTCGTGGCGCGCGAGGCGCTCGACGAGGCCCAGCGCGCGCGGCTGGCGCGCGAGCGCGTCGCGCGCGTCCGGGTTCGTCGCGACGAGCGCCTGGGCAGCGAAAGAGAGATTCGACGTCGCTTCAACGTGAGTTTGCCGCGCGCGCGCGTTCCGGAAACAGCATCCACGCTTCGAGACCGTTCCGAGAGACGATCGCTCGTCCAAAAATCAGCCGAAACGAGCGGACACCGGCCGAGATCGAAGTTTGGAATGTCGCTCTCTCGTGCTGCCCCGACGAGCGCCAGCAGCCGCGCGAGGCGGTCCACGAGGCGCCCCTCCTTGGCGGCGTCGGCCAGCGCCTCCAGCGTCTCGGGCTCGCGCGCGAGCGTCGCCGCCACGGCGACGCGGAATCGCGCGCCGTCGTCGGACGTGAGCAGCGGCTCCGACGCGTCGCAGAGCGTCGCGAGCGCGCGCGCCTTCTTCGCCCGCTGGGCCGCGGAGACGAGCGTCCGGTTCGCGCCGACGCCCGCCGTCGCCGCCGTGAAGACGAGGCCGTCGAGCGCGTCCGTCGCGGCGCGGAGCAGCCGGTCGCGGCGCCGCTCGCCGCGCTCGCAGGGCCACGACTCCTCGACGAGGAAGCTCGCGAGCTCGGCGACGGCGACGCAGGCCGCGCCGCCGTCGTCCCGCGGCCGGGCGACGACGCGGCTCAGCGCCTCCGGGAGGCCCGCGTCGAGGAGCGCGGCGACGGCCGCGCCGCTCCCGCCGGGCTCGTCCTCGCGGTCGCCGACGAAGCGCCGCGCGAGCGCGTCCAGGGCCTGGACGCGCCGCACGCCCTGGTCGTCGCCCGCGACGCGCGCCGCCGCGCCCCCGCCGCCGCCCGACGCGTCGGACGCCGCGTCCGCGGCGCGGTTCCGGGCGCCGGAGCCGTCGCCCGCGACGGCGCCGCAGAGCGCGAGGAGCACGCCCAGGCTCCGGTCGCCGCCGCCGCCGTCGACCTCGGCGCCCCGCGCGCCCGGCGCGCCGCGCCGCCCGAAGAGCGCGCGCTTGAACGTCGCGAGCGCGTCGCGCGCGGACCGCCGCGGCCGGCCGCAGTCGCGGCGCAGCGCGTCGAGCGCCGCGACGGCGCGGCTCCCGTCGCCGAGGTAGTCCCGCGCCTCGCGCAGCGCCGCGAGGGGCGCCAGCGGCGGCCGCGCGACGCTGGGCACCCACGCGCCCGCGTGCGCGGCCTCGGCCGACCGCCGGACGCCGAGCGCGACGGTCAGCGCGCCGAGGCCCCCGGGCTCCGCGTCGAGGCGCCAGCAGCTCAGGGACACGAGGCTGCCCAGGTCCCGCGCCGACAGCCAGGAGCACGCGCGCGCGACGCACGCCGACGGCACGTGCCGCAGCGCGCCCGCGGACACGGCGAGCCGCAGCGCCATGCGGCAGAACTCGGGCGTGTCGCCCGCGGGCGCCGCGTCGGCGAGCGGGTCGCGGCCCCAGGAGCTCCGCGCGCCCACGGCGGCGCACGGCAGCGCCTCGGCGTCCTGCCACAGGGCCGCGGCGCACGCCTCGACGGCGCGGATGAGCGCGTCGCGCTCCGGCGAGGAGAACGGCTGCGAACTCGCGTCCGCGCGCTCGACGAGCGCCTGGCACACGTCCTGCGACGCATCCTCGAGCTTGAGCTTCTTCTTCGGGCGCGCGGGGACAAGCTGGGCGCCGGCCATTGTGCTAAAGTTCGTGTTCAGTTGTGCACGGCCATCGTGCTCCCTGGGCTTTGAACCTCGACCAACTGCACAAATTATTACCCGTTCGCGCAATGTACGTCCTGAGCTAGCCAAGGCCCAAGGCCGCGGCCGACGCGTCCGCGCGGATCGTCCAGCCGCCGAACTCGAGACTATGCAGGCGAATGGGCTGCGTTTGGACGGATCGTGTGGAGAAATTGGTGGACGATCGGCCGTCGACGAACGGTGCCGTTTTGCGCGTCCCTCGTCTCGGAGGGCAGCCCCGCCCGCGTTCAAGTTGGGCCGGCGCACTCGAGCCTGCGAGCGGATGATACGGCCGTACTGTTGATGTTGGAACTTGCCTCTGAACCGGGATCGGGAATGTATCCAAAGCATCTCCAAAACTCCCCCTCAGTAAAACCATTCATCCTATATCAACGCAACGAGCTCGCGCTGTCTGTCTCGCGTCCCCGTCCGCCGCGTCGAATCGTGTGACCCCCGCGGCCCGGTGAGAGCTACGTAGACAGCCATGGGTACGTGCGCCTCCGCCGATGCGGACTCCGCGGAGGACAAGGAGATTGCGAAGAAGGTGGAGGAGCAGAAGGACAAGGACGAGAATAAGGTGCGGCTCCGGCGTCCTCGTCCGCGCGCCCCAATCCCCGGACCCGGGCGGCGCGCCGGACGCCCCGGGGCCGCCGCCGCCGCGCGCGCCGGGGCGGCGCCGCCTCCGGGACCGGGCGCCCGCGGGCCGCGCGGCGCGGCCCGGCCGCGGGCCGCCCGCCGGCCCGGAGTCCGCGCGCGCCCGCCGGCGGCCCGCCCGGCGCCCCCCCGCCGCGCGCCTTCCGCGCCGCCGCGGCCCGGCCGCCCCCCCCCGGGACGCGCCGCGGCCCGTCCGGCCCGGCCTTTGGAGAGAGAGGCCCGGGGCCGCGCGCGCCGACCGCGCCGCCGCCCCCCCGCAGATCAAGCTGCTGCTGCTCGGCGCCGGCGAGTCGGGCAAGTCGACGATCTTCAAGCAGATGAAGATCCTCTACGGCGAGCCGACGATGAACCAGGACGACCTCAACCTCGTGCGATCGATCATCTACAACAACACGATCACGACGATGCAGACGATCCTCGAGTACTGCGAGACCTTCGAGCTCAAGGGCCAGGTGCTCCCCGAGAACGAGGCCCACTTCCAGAAGGTCATGGAGGCGGACGAGAACGACGACCTCGACGCGGAGCTCGGCGCGAGCATGGACGCGCTCTGGAAGGACCCGGGCGTCCAGGCGACGTGGGACAGACGAAGCGACTACCAGATCGTCGAGTCGCTCAAGTACTACTTCAAGAACATCCTGCGCATCTCCGAGCCGGGCTACATGAACAAGGACGAGTACACGAAGGAGGAGCAGCTCCAGTACCAGCAGGACGCGCTCCTCGCGCGCGTCCGCACGTCGGGCATCGTCACGGAGGCCTACAACATCGACGGCAAGATGTTCGAGATGTACGACGTCGGGGGCCAGCGCAACGAGCGCCGCAAGTGGATCCACTGCTTCGAGAACGTCACGGCCGTCATCTTCGTCGCCGCCATCTCCGAGTACAACCAGAAGCTCTTCGAGGACGCGACGACGAACCGCATGCTCGAGGCCCTCGAGATCTTCGAGGAGATCAACCAGAACAAGTTCTTCGTCAAGGCCTCCATGATCCTCTTCCTCAACAAGCGCGACCTCTTCGAGGACAAGATCAAGAAGTACGACATCAAGGACTCGCCGGGCTTCTCCGACTACACGGGCGGCTGCGACTACGACGCCGGCTGCGCCTACTTCGTCGGCAAGTTCATGCGCAGGAAGGGCGACCCGGACAAGGTCGTCTACCACCACATCACCTGCGCGACGGACACGTCGAACGTCGCCATCGTCTTCAACTCGTGCAAACAGATCATCCTGCAGAAAAACATGGAGAACGCGGGCTTCATGTGAGCTCGCGCCGAAAAACGAGCCCCCCCGGTCCCCCCGCCCCCCAGCCCCCCGACTCTCCCCCCGACGACGACGGCGGGCGACGCCCCGGCGCCGGCCGACGGCGCCGCCGCGACGCCACCGACCCCAGCAAGACACAACACCGGCGGGCCCGGCTATCCGCCACCGCGCCGCCATCCGCCGCGGGCCACTCGAGCTGCACACCCGTGCGCCCCCGCGATGGCCCGCTGTTCTTCGAGCGCCCGAACACTGACAGCGACGGGAGAGAACCTGATCGAGGCCCGGCGCCCGGCGACGCGGCGGCCCGCGCGCCGCCGCCGCGCCGAGCGCGGCAGCGGCCCACGGCCCGCCGGCGGCGCGCGAGCGCCGCCGGCGCGCCCGCCGCCGCCTCCGCCCACGCAGTCGCGCGGACGAATCCGCGCGCGCGTGCCCGCGACCCGCCTCTACTAACCTCTCTTCTCAGCGCGAGTTCCCTCTCCTTTTGTTGCGGATGTTGGCGTTTGGGGTCTGGCGTCGCCCGCTGCGACCGCTCTGACAGCCTCTGCGCGAGGCTTGTTCGACGCTCGTCGCGTTTTCGGCGATGATCTCGCCGCAAACCCGTCTCGATCGACGTGGCGCCGCCGCTCGCGACGTTGCCGAGGCGTTTGCGACCGCTCTGTTCGACACTCGTCTCGGTTTGGCGACGCCGCAACGCGACTGATCACACGCGGCGCCAAAGCCGCCGACGACATGGGCGCCATCGATTACTCCAAATGGGACAACATCACGAGCGACGTCGAGTCGGACGACGAGCCCGCTCTTAAAGTCGCGAAGAAGCCGGCGACGAACGTGACGAAGAAGCCCGAATCGGCGGCGAAGGAATCGACGATGGCGACACCGAGAGGCGAGGAGCCGCCGCCGTTCGTCATGCCGACGGATCCCTACGAAGTCACCGTGGAGATCGTCGACATGTCCAAGGGCCTCATGAAGATGGCCGGGGAAGTGATGCTCGGCGTGAAGCTCGACGGCGTGTTCCATTGCAACGTCCACGTCCACGGGAAGACGACCTGGTTTCACTTGGACGGCGCGCACAGCGGGCCCGCGGCGCCCGGCGACGGGGCGCACGTGACCTTCGAGGCGCGCGGCCGCACTTCGCGCACGGCCGACGATGTCGACGAGTGGTTCGCGGCTTCGCCGTACGCCGCGGACAACTACGACCTCTGGTCGCGCAACTGCAACCACTTCGCCGACGCGCTCCTCGCGTTCCTCGGCGTCGCGCCTCTACCGGCCATGGTCACGGAGGTACCCGCCAAGGTCCTCGCGTCGCCGATGGGCGCGATGCTGCGGCCGACCATCGACAAGGCCGTGGCCGTCCTCCGCGACTCGTCGGACGGCGGCGACGGCTCCATGGTCGACCGCTTCCTCGAGACCGTCGTCGAGCAGCCGGGGGGACTCCTCGTCGCGCCCATCGTCAAGATGATGAGGAGCATCGCCGCCTAGGCCGCGCGTCGCGCGCGCCCTCGGGCGACCACCGCCTGGGACTCTTATCACGCCGACTCCGCGGGCTTGGGCGGCTCGATGACGGGGAGCGGCGGCGGCATCTTCACCTCGGAGTCGGTCCTCGCGCGCTCGTCGGGCGGCGGCGGCTCGTCGGGCTGGGGCTCGTGGAGCTTGAGGCGCTTGAGGACGTCGGCGTCGTCGATGATCTCGTAGGGCCCGGAGAAGTCGAAGAAGACCTCGCGGCGGTCGTCGGTCATCTCGCAGCGGACCGTCGTCGTCTTCCGCGTCGCGACGGCGATGAAGGGCAGCGCGAGGTGGGGCGCGGCCTCGCCGCTCGCCGGGCTGCCCGCCGCCGGGCCGCCGCCGCGCGCGGCGTTGCGCCGCCGGAGGTTCGCGAGCGCGGACTGCTGCCGGAGCAGGTCCTCGACGTGGCGCCGCTTCCGCGCGACGGACTTGCGCGCGCGGTCGACGTCGCGGCTCGCGACGTCGAGGTCGCTGTCGGCGTAGGACGGCAGGCCGCACCACTTGATCTCCTTCTTCTCCTTGGAGATGATGTCCATGGCCATCAACACGTTCAGCGCGTCGTAGACGCGGCGCCGGATGTTCTTCTCGTCGTCGGGCCGCTGGCCCGTGAGCCGCGCCTGCTCCTCGAGGTACTCGCTCACGAGCTCGTCGGCGACCTCGTTGTACCTGGGGGGGGCGGGAGCGCGTCGGCCCGCGCGCGGCGGCCGCGCGGCGGAAGCGCGGGCGCGGGCGCCGCGCGTCGTCGAGCCCTTCTCCTCGACCTTCTTGCAGACCTTCTCCGAGAAGTGGCGCAGGCCCTTGGCCGTCTCCTCGACGGCCGTCGCCTGCTTCTCCTTGGCGCGCCGCCGCTTCGTCTCGGGCGACGTCGCGACGATCGGGTCCTCGCTCGCCGCGCGCGGCGAGTCGCCGCCGTCGGACTCGTTCTCGCGCCGCGCGGGCGCATCGCAGTAGCGCGACCTGGGAGCGAAAGGCGGGGCGTCGCGGCGCGCGCGGCGGCGGCGGCGGCGCGCGGAGGGGGGCAAGGGGACGCGGGCGGCGCTACGGAAGTTTGCCCGTCTCGTCGATGAGCCCAACTTCGCGAGCGATGTCGCCGCACCCGACGCTCTCGATCCACGACACGAACTCCTCGTTCATCCTGTTTTCGGGTAGAAAGAGCCTTGGATCGAAGCGTTTGAGGAGCACCCCAGTGCGTGCCGCTGGGCCTCGGTGAGAGCCACCCGCCCAGCGGGCCTGCGGACCCCCGGCCAAGCGCTCGACGTCCGTCGCCCACGGCGCTGGCGCCGCACACGCGTGCGCAAAAGAAAACCCGATGACATATGCGTTTCAGAGGAGAGGGGGAATGCTTACCGAGTGCCCCGACGGTGGTGGTCGACGTCGTCGGTCCACCTTGCACTTCACCGTGGACCTCAACAACGCCCATTCCAGCGCTCCCGATGGACTTCCCGATGGGCTCGTGATGGGGCTCTGCGGATGCTGGGCGAAGCCCGAGCCCGAGCCCAAGCATGCGCCAATTTTGAGGAAGCCCGCGCCGGAGCCCGCGCCCGGCTGCGCCCGCGTCTGGGCGGCGGCGCGCTACGACCTCTTCGAAGGCTCGCTGAACGAGTACACGCCGCACCTGGGCACCGCGGCGCCGCCGCTGGCGAGCCTCGTGCGCCGGTCCGAGAAAGCGCCGTACGACCTGTGCGACGCCGCCTTCAGCCACGGCGACGCGCCGCGGCACGTCGTCGTCGAGCTCGAGAGGGAGAAACGACCGGAGGCCATGGTCTTCAAGACGGGCTGCGCGCGCGTCTGGGACGCGGCGATCGCGCTGACGCTGCTCGTGCGCGCGCGCCCGGCCGAGGCCGGCCTGCGCGTCCTCGAGCTCGGCGCGGGCGCGGGGCTGCCGGGCCTCGACGTCGCCGCGCGGCGCGCGGCCGCGGCGGTCGCGCTGACGGACGCGCACGAAGCGGTCCTCGCGCAGCTCCGGGCGAACGCCGCGCGCGTCGCCGCGGGCGGGGGCGCGCCCCTCGACGTGGCCTACCTCGGCTGGGGCTCCGCGGCGGCGCGCGACGGCGGCGGCGTCGCGCGGCCGCGCGCCTACGACCTCGTCCTCGGCGCGGACGTCGCCTACGACGAAAGGGAAACCGCGGGCCTCGCGGACCTCGTCGCATCCCTCGACGCGCGCGAGGCCCTGTTCATCGGGCCCACGGGCTGCCGCTTCGCGCTCGAGGACCTCGCGGAGCAGCTCCGCGGGAGGGCGGGGCTCGTCGTCGAGGAGGCGCTCTACACGCTCGCGTGCTCGGACGGCGCCGCGGCCGCGCGCGACGGCGACGCGCGCGCGCGGACCCCGGCGACGAAGCGGGTCTACCGCCTCGTCTCCGCGCGCCGCGCGGATCACTAAACTAGGTGACTCACGTAACGAAGGCGGCGAGCTTCGGCCCGACGAGCGCGCCCAGGAGCACGAAGCCCGGGAGGGCCAGGTGCCTCACGAGGGACGCGCGGACGAAGTCGTCCGTCGTCGCGCGGAGCTCCCGCTTCTCGATGAACGTCGCGAGCGCGTCCCGGTCGACGCGGAGCGCGCCGACGCCCGCGCCGCGGACCTCGACGCCCAGGCTCGCGAAGAGGTCCTCGCAGGCGCCGCGGAGGTCGTCGCGGCCGTCGCGGAACGCGCGGACGCGCCGCGCGCCGAAGCGGACCGTGAGCCCGGCCGCCGGCGGGTCGCCCGACGCCGCGAAGCGGGCCTCGTCGGCGCGCAGGGCCTCGAGGATCGCGTGCTTTGCGTCGGCGACGGACCGGCCCCGGACGTCGAGCACGCCGCCCTCGACGGCGGGCACGGCGCCGCGCGGGAACCCGAGGTCCTCGAGCGACGCCTGCATCGACGACGAGTGGCGGAAGGCCTCGTGGAGCAACCGCGACGTCTCCTCGGTCCGCTCGTCCGGGAAGGCCGCGAGCGCCGCCTCCAGCGCGCCGTCCGCGTCGCCCGCGCGGACGTGCGCCATCACGAGCGCGTTCTTCGCCATGTCCATGGGCTCCGCGGGCATCTCGTCGAGCAATGCGCGCACGCCCGCGGCGTCGCCGCGCGCGGCTTTGGACCGCGCGAGGCACGCGTAGGTGAAGCCGTCGAAGGCGATCGACTCCGCGGCCATGGCGGCGAGCGCGCGGTCGAACGCGTCCTCGGAGACGCGCAGCGCGGCCTGCAGCGCCGTGTTGTAGAGGTGCGCGTCGCGGTCGGGCAGCGCCGGCGCGTGGGCGTCGAAGGCCGCGAGCGCCCCCGGCGCGTCGTCGCTCGCGATGCAGATGGACATGACCGTCGTGAGCTCGCCTTTGCGCAACGCGCCGTCGCGGGCCATGGCGTCGAGGGACGCGAGCGCGAGCCGGCGCCGCTGTATCAGCGCTTTCCTCGACTCGCGCGACGTCGCGGAGCTCCGCACGCGCAGGTGGCGCTTGAGCAGGCGGCGCCAGGTCTCGGGCCTCGCGCGCGACCTTTGGGCCAAAGCCACGGCGCCGGCGAGGTCGCCGCGGCTCGCGAGGGCGTCGACGGCGTCGTCGAGGGCGGGGCGTTGCTTCGCGCGCGACGGCGCGTCGGCGGCCCGGCTGCTCCCTCTGGGCGTCGCGCTCGGCTTCTTCGCGCGCGACGACGCGTGGCGCGCGGCGCGCAGCAGCATGCTCGACGAGCTCGAGAGCGTGGGTGGCGCGACCACGCAGATCCTCCTCGCCGCGAACATCGTCTCCACCAATGGTGAAGCCACTTGTGAAGCCTTGTTGAATGGGGGTTGCACCGAGCTGGCGAGACGCGTGCGCGAACGACGGTGCTTACGGACGAGCGTGGCGGCCGGGGCGGGCGAGCCTAGTCGTCGCCCTCGGCGACGACGGGCGGGATGTTCGTGGGGTTGCCGTGGTGGTCGAGCTCGGCGACGTAGCCCGCGGGCGCGGCCGCGAAGCTGCTCTTCTTGGCCGCCCGGGGCGGCTCGGGCGACGACGACGGCGACTTGCTCTTGGACGCGTCGCGGCGGTCGCGGCGCGACCTGCTCTCGGACTTGTCGCGGTCGCGGCGGCCGCGCGACCGGGACCGGGACCGGGACCGGCCGCGGCGCGCGTCGCGGCGGTCGCGGGACCGGGACCGCGGCCGGCGGTCGCGGCCCCGGTCGTCGCGGCCCCGGTCGCCGCCGGCGTCGTCGTGGGAGAAGCGGCAGGAGCTCCCGCGGTTGCAGCGGCCGCGCATGAAGTCGAAGCAGCGCGTGTCGCGGAAGCCCGCCTTCTCGATGAGGCGGCCGCCGCCCGGGGCCTCCCGGGGCGGGCCGCCGCGGCCCTCGTAGGCCGGCTTCTTGCGCGACTCGTAGCACGCCTTCGAGCAGAAGCTCGAACTGTAGAAGCCGTCCTTGGTGTTGCCCTCCTTGTTGCACGTCTCGCACGTGATCGTCGGGCTCGGCGACCGCGCCACGCGGTGCTGGCCGGGCGCCATCTCTAAGATTCGTGTGTGTGTGTGCTTGGCGTCGCGGGGGCGGCGCGCGGGCAGCAGCGGGCACGACACAGACGGCGGCTCGGGAGCGAGGGCACTCCAAGGCCATACTGCACGTTGATGCTACGTTGAACCCGAGGCTGTCATCCCTGGCCGCGCGCCCCGGGCTCCATCACGGGCCGAGCAAGGCCGCTTCGTCGCGGAACGACGCAGACGACCGACGCGCCGAGCATGCCTCTCGTATGCCACCAAAAGAAGAAGAACGCTACGTAACTTCCCGCTTCGTGAGGCGGTACAGGAAGACGGGCGCGGGCGTGCCCGGCGGCTCGGCGCCGACGGCCTGCTCCCGGGGCATGGTGTGCGTCTCGAGGCGCTCGGAGTCGAGGCCCGCGTCCCGCGCGAGGTCGAAGAAGCGCAGGTCCCCGTGCTCCTTGCCTTCGAAGCGGTGCATGAACGTCACGTAGGCCGCGCCGCCGGGCTTGAGCACGCCGGCGAGCGTGTCGACGAGGCCCGCGTGGAGGTCGTGGAGGTAAATCATGTCCGCGACGAGGGCGACGTCGAAGGCGCCGTCGTCCGCGGGCGCGACCGAGAGCGCGACCGAGAGGCGCCGCGCGACCGCGGCCGCGCGCGACAGCCCGGGCCAGACGCGCGGCGCGCTGTCGCCGTAGGTGCGGTCGTAGGCCCCGGCGCCCATGGTCAGCGCGCCGGGCGAGAACTTGTAGAACTGGTAGCCCCGGACCTGGCACCGGGACCGCGGCGCGCGGCTCCGCTCGACGTTCGCCCGGATGACGCCGAGGAGCCGGGGCCGCGGCAGGTCGCAGACGCAGGCGAAGGCGCAGCCGCGCCTGAGCGCGACGAGCGACGGCAGCGCCGTCGCCGCGCCGAGCTCGACGACGCGCTTGCCGCGCACGACGTCGCTGCGCCGGCCCAAAAAGTCGGCCAGGACCTTGCCGCCGTTCCAGAGCAGGTGCGCGAAGGCGCCGTCGACGGATCCCGCCGCGGGGGCCTGGGGCACCTCGAGCTCGAAGACGTCGTCGCCCACGGCGTGGGAGATGGTCGGCGGGCCGGCCATGCCGCGCTGGGGCTGCCTCAGCTTCAGCTTTGGCGGCAAGCTGCCGATCAACACACAACTCACCGTCCGCGCGGTCGCCGGCGTCTAGAGCTTCGCCTAGGCGGCGACCGAGACCTGACCATCTCAACGGCCGCACGAGCCACGTCTCCCGGGGTCGTGCGTAGGCCGCGAGATAATATCAAGGCCAGAAGCTCCTCGCAGACGCGTCTTTTTTTTGCCCTGGCGAAGTCCTCGTCGGACCCAATCAGATTGTGCCAGTTGAGTCTGGTGCATCCCGACCGCAGACTTGTCGCCCCGCCTTGGCATGCCGCACACGCGCGCGAACGCGCAGCGGGGCAGCGGCGTGTCGCTGTTGGCCGCGGCGGCACCCATGCCGACGCCGGTGCAGCCGGCCGTCGGCCTGAATGCGCTGCTGGCGGCCGCCGGGCGCATCGAGGCCTCGGACCCCAAGAGCGTCCAATCGCGGCCGCGGAGCCGCTTGGGCAAGGTTGAGCTCCGGCTGCGAGGAGCCGAAGTGTGGGAGCCGAAGAGCGTCCGCGACCGGGCTCCGAAGGTTTTTTTCGACGACGCGTACCCCGCTGAGGAGCCGGCCGCGCCCGTGAAGAAGACGAAGCCGAAGACGAAGAAGACCCCGGTGCTCTCGTCCCGGGCCTGCCTCGTCACGGGCGTGCGGCGCACCATCTGCTCCTGCAATTCGGAGGGCTGCGGAAGCTACCTCTGCATGGTCACGGGCGCGCAGCGCAACAAATGCGACTGCGGCGCGAAGGGCTGCGGCGCGTCCCTGTGCCCCAAGACGGGCCTCGAGCGCGCGCGCTGCGACTGCGGCGACGGCGACTGCGGCGCGTCCCTGTGCCCCACGACGGGCCTCAAGCGCGCGCTCTGCGACTGCGGCGACGGCGACTGCGGCGCGTCCCTGTGCCCCACGACGGGCCGCGTCCGCGGCGATTGCGAGTGCGACGACGATGACTGCGGCGCCTGGCTGTGCCCGCGCACCAAGAAGCGGCAGGGTGACTGCCCCTGCCGCCGCCTCGAGTGCGGCGCGCGACTCTGCCCCACGACGGGCCGCGTCCGCTGCGTCTGCGAGTGCGACGACGACAAATGCGGCGCGTCCCTGTGCGCGCGCACGAAGCTGCCCAAGTGGCACTGCAGCTGCCGGAGCGAGGAGTGCGGCGGCAGCCTCTGCGACGAGACCAAGGTCGAAAAGAGGCTGTGCAAGTGCGGCGCGGACGGCTGCGGCGCCGCCGTCGCCTGCAACGTCCTCGCGGGCTTCCTGCGCGCGGTCAAGCGCCGGGGCGGCAAGGTCGACTTCCCCTTCGTGGCCGTCGCGAAGGCCGAGGCCTTCTGGGGCTTAACCGTGGCCCAGGTCATGGAGTACCTCGTCGCGACGTACCCCGGCAGCGCCGCCGACGTCCGCCGCATGTGGACGATGGGCGTCCTCAACGTCGACCACATCGTGCCCCGCAACAAGGTCCTCAAGGACATGGGCCCCTTCGTCGACCGCCACAACAACACGCTCCCGGCCTTCGACTACGTCAACCGCATCGTCCACCTCCAGCTCGCGCGCCCCGCGATCAACAGCTCGAAGGGCGACAAGTTCCCGAAGTCGACGAGCGACGCGCTCGCGCGCCGCGTCGCCCTCATGCCGCGCGGCAAGCTCAGCCCCTCCAAGTTCGCGAGCTGGATCGCGGCCGTCCGCAAGGACGTCCGCGAGGGCAACTACGAAATCGGCGACCCCGCGCGGTTCCCGGCCGACCCGCCGCCGGCGCGCCGCGGCGGCCGCGGCGCGACGCGCGCCAAGCCCAAGCCCCGGCGCGGCGGCTCCGTGGGCGCCGCCGCGAAGCGCCCCCGCCGCGCCTCCAAGGCGACCTAGGCGCAGCCGCGTCCCCTGGCCCCGCGCACCCGCGATCCCACCTGGATAAACCCCCGTCGACCCCCGCCAGCTCAAGGCGATATCGATGACACGGTCCGCCAAAGCTGCGGCACCATCAGCGATGACTGCCACTACAGCTATGTCCTCCTCCAGCGCGGCCGCCGACGACGCCGACGGCCCGCCCGTGCCGACGCGCACGCAATCGGCGCTCACGGGCTCGCTGGCGGAGAAGATGATGAAGTCCATGGGCTGGAAGGAGGGCCAGGGCCTCGGCAAGAAGGGCGAGGGCATCGTCAAGCACGTCACCGTCGAGCGGCGCCTCGAGGGCCAGGGCCTGGGCCTCGAGCTCGACGGCGGCGGCAACACAGCCTTTGGGACGACGGCGAGCGGCTTCAGCAACGCCCTCGCGAGCCTCAGCGCCAAGTACGGCGCGCCCGCCGACGCGGCGTCGTCGTCCGACGAGTCGTCCGATGAGGAGGAGGAGCGCCGGAGGCGCGCCGCGAAGCGCAGCAAGAAGTTCGTCGCGCCGCGCGGGCACCACAAGAAGAAGGACCTCAAGGCCGTCGGCGAGAACGACCTCAAGGCCATCCTCGGCCAGGCGGCGGCTCCGGAGAAGAAGAAGAAGCGCGAGAAGAAGACGCGCGCCGCGGCCGAGGACGCCGACGACGCGACGCCGCCGCCCGTCGTCGAGAAGAAGAAGAAGAAGAAGAAGCGCGAGGCCGCCGACGACGACGACGACGCGGCCGCGCGGAAGAAGGCGCGGAAGGCGGCGAAGAAGGCCGCGCGGAAGGAGAAGTCCTAAGATCTCGAGCTAGTAGCGCACTGGTGTTCATCGTCGTGTCTCCGGCGATGCCGCGGTGTTGTTCCACGCGTCGCCGAGCGTCCCTGCCCCTTAGTTCATGTTGCATTCAACTTGACTCTTGCTGCTCAAGAGGCATGGCAGCGCGTTCCGGGGTCCCAAGCGCAAACGCTGCAGCCGCAAAAGCATCAGCGTTCATTGCAGACCAAGTGGATCGGTGCTAAGAGCCATGCAAGCGTCGACAACAAAACTCGTGCACGCCCTTGTGCTCCTCGCCGCGCAAGCATCAGCGCTCGCAGCAAGCGGCCGCCTGAACCACCTGCCCGAGCGCGTCGACGACTGGGCCGTGGAGCCCACGTGCTCGTCCTGGCGCGGCGTCGAGCTCTGCTGCCTCACGGCGAGCTCGGACCCGGACGTCGACGGCCTCCTGTCCGTCGCGCACCCGGAGCACCCGCGGTTCCGCGCGGTCAACGAGCTCGGCGACCCGCACGGCGCGCTCGGCGTCTGGCCGTCGGCCTACGCGGCGGCCGCGGAGCTCGGCGCGCGCGCGCCGGCGCCGCGGCACGTGCTCGAGCTCGGCGCGGGCGCGGGCCTGCCGTCGCTCTTCGCGTCCGTCGTGCTCGGCGCCGCGACGCGCGCGACGGACGTCGAGGCCGTGCCGCTCGCGTTCCTCGCCGCCGCGCGCGCTTCGCACGCGCCGCCGCCGACGGACTTTTCGACGGCCTACCTGGACGTCCTCGAGGCCGACGCCGACGACCTGGCCTGGGCCGACGTCGTCGTCGCCGCGGACCTGCTCTACAACGCGGACGTCGCCGCGGCGCTCGGCGAGCGCCTCGGGCGCTACGTCGCGCCGGGCCGGGACGTCGTCGTCTGCGACCCCGGGCGGCGGGGCCGCGAGTCGTTCCTCGACGCGTTCCGCCGCTTCCGCGACGCCGAGTTCGTCGACGTCGACGTGCCGGGGGGCGTCGCGGACGTGTTCGACGGGTCGCCGCAGCCCACGGTGGGCGTCTTGCGGTATGACACTTAACAGGACGCGAGCCCGACGACGGCGCCCGTGGACTGCGTCGCGCGCCAGAGGCGCGTCGCGTCGCACGCGGCGGCGCAGACCTCGTCGTCGCCGTAGGGGAGCCGCGTCGCGGCCATGACGTAGGGGCCGACGTCGTCGAAGAAGCCGCCCGCGTCGAGCGCGTCCTGGCGGCTGAGGCAGGGCAGCGTCGGCGCGGCGCCGAGGCTCCCCTCGAGCGTCGCCACGGGCTGCTTCGCGAGCACGAAGGTCGAGTCGGAGACGGCGACGTCCTCCGCGGCCGCGTGGACGCGCACGCCCGCGCCGGCGAGGAGGTCGAAGCGGCAGCCGGCGACGGAAACGCGCGCGCCGCTCCGCACGTGGACCGACGCGTCCTCGTCGACGGCGGCCTCGGACGGCAACACCCGCGAGTCCGTGTCGCGGCGGCCCGTCGTGTCCGCGAAGCCGAGGCCGCGGATTTCCACGTCGCTCGCGCCGTCGACGACGACGGGCGCGCGGATGATCGGGACGACGACATCCGACTGCCAGGTCATGCCCGTGAAGACGCGCGTCGCGTGCGTCGTCAGCGAGTACGTGGGCCAGACGAAGAGCGTCTCGAGGTCCGCCTCGTACCACCACTCCTCCTCGCTCAGCGCCCGCAAATCCTCGACGTAGAAGCGGAGCTCCGTCTCCGAGTCGAGCTCGGCCTTCTCCACGAGCCCCGCGAACGCCGCGCGCTCGTCGGCGTCGCAGTCGCGGCCCGAGCCGCACTCGAGCGAGAACGTCGCGATGCGCCGGATGTCCGCGCCCTCGAGGGCCGGGTCCCAGTTGCCTACGACAAAGGAAGTGACGAGCGACGTTCCCGAAGAAGCGCGCGCACCGTGGCTCGTCGACATGCCGCCCTGCACGAAGGTCAGGTTCGCGCGGACGATCGCGCTCTGGACGACCTGCGTGCGAATCAAATCTTCAACTCGACTTCAATGTGCGCGTATGAGACAGTTTCGACGCGAGCTCTTCGGCCGTGCTTCGAGAACTCGACGAGAGCACTCGATTCGTCCAAAAGTCAGCCGAATCGACTTCGATTTGACCGAGCTAGAGAAGCTCAAAGTTTGGTCGGGACGTCCCAAACCAGCTGTTGATTTGCACACAGCGGACGACGGCGCCCAGGAACGGGGTCGTCAGCGCCTGGACGTGGCAGCTGCAGGAGAAGCCCGCGACCATCATGCCCACGGGCAGCGACGTCGACGGGTCGCCCGCAAAGTAGAAGGACCCGTCGCGCGCGACGAGCTCGACGGTCGTGAGCGTCGCCTTCGTTTTCGACGCGCGGGCCACCTCGCTCGCGTAGAGCCAGCCCTCGTCGGGGAAGCGCGCGGCCGACGCGTAGGCGTCGCCGACGCGGAGCATGTCCACGGTGGCCGGCGGGTCCGCGCCGCCGAGCGCGGCCCGCAGGTCGCACTTCCAGAGGAACGTGAGCTGCGTCGACGACTGCGCGTGGAGCTCCGCCTTGTCGCCCTCGATGTCCGTCGTCTGCGCGGCCCAGATGGCGCTGTAGACCGGGTGCTTGTAGAGCACGAGCTGCCAGCAGGTCGCGTTGATGGGCAGCCCGCCGCTGAGCCACGCGCCGTCGTCGCCGCGGAGCGTCGTCCCGCCGTCGCCCGCACCGAGGGCGATGGGCTCGGAGACGTAGTGGATGCCCGCGCCGAAGGCGATCTCGCTCGAGGGCGCGCCGGCGGCGAGCGACGCGCGCGACGCCCTGACGGCGGCGCGCGCCGTCGCGAAGGGGCGCGACGCCGTGCCGGCGCCCGCGTCGGAGCCGGCGACGTCGACGTAGAAGGTGCGCGCGCTCCCGGAGGAGCCGACGGGCCGCGGCGTCGGCGCGGGCGGCTCGGCCGCGGCCGCGGCCGCGGCGGCGGCCGCCGTCGGCCGCGGCGTCGGCCGCGGCGTCGCCGCCGCGGAGTTCGGCGCCAGCGGCTCCGACACCGCGCCGTGGACGCGCGACGCCGTCGCGCGGTACGCGACGGTCAGGACGACGGCGATGCCGCAGAGCGCCGCCGCCAGCAGCACGGCCCGCGGCTTGCCGTCGCGGATGCAGCGCACGGGCATCTCCAAAGTACCGCCGTGCGCCTCGAAGTCCGTCGAGATCTCCATCGGTTGCGGGGGCTGGTCCTCGTAGGTCTTCTCGCCATTGCTCGTCGTGCCGCCGTACGTCGACATCGCGCCGGGGCTGCCGCTTACGGCCACATCGCGGCCGCTTGCTTTGCTTGAAGCGGTTGGTGCAGCCTGGTTGCCGCGAGCAACAAGAGTGATCCGAGTCTGGTGCCTGCTTCGGCCGCGCAGCAGCACGACAGACGCCGCGCAACAACATGAAGCGCGGCATCATCGATCTCACGCGCGACGACGACGACAACACTCGCGGCGACTCCGCGCTCGCGCGGCGCCTCGGCGCGGAGGAAGCGCGCCGGCAGAAGAAGCGCGCGGTTCCCGACACCTCCGGCGACGAAGCGCTGGCGCGGCGCCTCTCGGGCCAGGGAGGCGCGCCCGCGCCGCGGCCCGCGCCGCGCCCGGCGCCGCGACCCGCGCCGCGACCCGCGCCGCAGCGCGCTCCGGCGGCGTTCGCGGCGCGGTGGGCGCCGCCGCCGCGGCTGCTCGGCTGCCCGCGCGTCGGCGCGCCGCCGCCGGGCGTCCCGCGGTCCGCCACGTGCGCGCTGGCCTGGTCCTACGACGCGACCGCGGCGCGCTGGGAATCCCAGCGCACCTGGGTCATCGTCGAGTCGCGGCCGCTCGGCGAGGGCGGCATGCGCGTGGCGCTGCCGTGCAACGAGTTCGACCCGACGCGCGGCGGCACGGGCGGCGTCGAGTACACGGAGATGGTCGCCAAGGTCTTCAAGCGCGGCCTCGGCCTCGACGCGGAGAAGCAGCGGCGCGCCCACTTCGACGAGGCGCGGACCGGCGTCGAGCGACGGGCGCGCTTCTTCGCGCGATTCTCGCCGGGAGGCGAGAAGACATCCGACCCCGTAGGCGCAGACGCAGATGATCTCCGAAGCCTACGCGCGCGAGTACAACGCGGAGCCTGCCGTCGCGGCGAACTCGCGCGCGAACAAGATCGCGTTCCTGACGTCGCGAGTCTTGGAGCTGCCGCGGGGGCTGGCGAACCTCGAGTCCTTGATTCGCGGCGACTACACGAAGCACAGCGACAACACGGGCAAGATCTGCAGCGCGCGCGACGTGCCCCAGGCCTTCTCCCACTACACGTACCACCGCTCCCGCGGCGCGCTCGTCGTCGTCGACCTCCAGGGCGTCGGCGACTTCTTCACGGACCCGCAGATCCACAGCCGCGACGGCCGCGGCTTCGGGTTGGGCAACCTCGGCGCGCGCGGCATCTCCGACTTCCGCGCCACGCACCGCTGCAACGCGGTCTGCCGCGCGCTCCGGCTCCCGCGGCCCTAGGGGGCGCGCGAGCCTAACCTCGGATTTGCCCGACTCGGATTTGCCGGGATGCGTCTGCAAACGTAGGACTCTCGGGAGGGGATAACACGGGGTCGGAGGACTCCGATTTGCCGCCGAGTCGCGTGCCGCTCGCCGAGCGCGCTGCAAGTTTCAGTCCAGCTGCCATGCCCCTCTCGGTCCTGACGCTCCTCTCTCTGGCCGCTTCGGCGGTCGCGGCGACCCAGAAGACCGGCGCGTTCAAGCTAGATCGTGCTCTGAAGCGGAAGCTCGCCAAGGCGTCGAAGCCTTCGCTCAAGCCCAAGAAATTGGTGGAAACCGCCACCCGATCCTCAAGGAGGCCTTCGCCGCGAGCGGCAAGCTCACGGGGGCGGACTTCGCCGCCGCCGCCGCGGCGGGGCCGGTCCCCGTCGACCGCGCCGCGGCCGCGCCCCCGCGCGCGGCGCCGAGCCGCCTCGGCGGCTTCGCGACCGAGACCCCGTCCGACGACTGCTCCGCGCACTCGTCCACGACGTTTTGCTACGGCATGGACGGCTACGTGGCCACGGACGCCACGAACGGCCTGGACGACGACTGGATCATGGCGTCGCCCGCGCCGCCCTCCGCGTGCGCGTCGTGCGGGTTCCTCCCGGCGTCCCGCGCCCGCGACGATGTTCGAGAGATGTTGACCGGGAAAATATCTTGACCGACGCACGTGGTAGGTTCTTCCACGACGACGACGAGCACCGCGCGGAGTTCGCCGACCGCACGGACTGGGCCGACTGCGTCAAGTGCGCCGAGGGCGACGAGCTCATGGTCTTTTACGAGGACTGCACGGGCGTCTGCTCGCCCCCGGCCGCCAAGGCCTACTTCGAGGGCTTCGGCTTCGCGGACCTCGACGCGTCCGCGTGCTTCGCCTTCGAGCCCTGCGGCTACGAGGGCTACTCGCTCGACGGCACGGTGCCGCCGCTCGAGACCCAGTTGTGGTCCTACTCCTACGAGGACGACGACCCGGTGGACGAGTTCTGCGCCGCGCAAATCGCGGCCGTCGAGGAGTGCTGGCAACACGCGGAGCACGACGAGGACGAGCACGACGAGCACGAGGACGAGCACGAGGACGAGCACGAGGACGAGCACGAGGACGATTCGTTCCTGGACGAATTCGCGACGTGCGACGAGGCCCAGGCGAGCGAGCACTGGGCCCACGCGTGTTCGACGCACGCGGAGACCGCGTGCGCCGACCTCTTCCAGGCCTACTACGAGTGCGAGTGGGAGTTCAATCTCGCGACGCACTTGGACCTCGACTGCGACATGACCTGCGCGGGCGTCGCCGCCCCGGAGGAGCACCACGACGACCACGACGGCCACGACCACGGCGCGGAAGAAGAGACCCACGACGACCACGACGGCCACGACCACGGCGACGCGGTGCCCGAGGAGTCCGACGGCGCCGCCAAGCTCGGCGCCGCGGCCGCGTCCGCCCTCGCGGCCGCCGCGTTCGCGCTCCTCTGACACTTACCAATCGTCGGCCGGAACGCAACTTTAACTTATTGAACCTAGAAGTTTACTTTCGAAAAGTGGTTGGACGTCGTCGTATGATGGTCGCACGATCTCTGATGCTGGGTTTGGCATGTTTCAGGCCAGGGGGAGAGAAACTGAGCACACTTCGCAGTGGGAATCCGGGGTCGGGCATTCCAAAACTTCAGCCCGCTCGTCTCGGGAACACGCAGAAGCTGAGATCATTTTTCCCTCTCTCTTCCCCGCGCGCAAGGCGGTCCCCGCGGCGAGGTTCTGGGTGCTCGAAGGTGCTATGCCAAGCGAACCCCGCTCTCGTCGCCCCGATTCCGGGCGGCAGCCGCGCGGGCATAGCACCTTCGCCCCCCCCCGAACCCCGGACGCAGCCCCGCGCCGCCGACCAACCACATCGTCTCGAGCGAAAGACGACGTTTCAGCCGAGCGATACATTTCACTGCAACTTGGTCCGTCGATTGGTAAGTGTCTGAGCCCGGCCGGAGCGCGCGAGGCCCCAAGAAGCAAGCACCGACGCCGCGCGTCAAGAGAGAGGCGGCCCAAGAGAGAAGCCCGCCACAGACGTTTATAAACCCAGGTGTCTCAAGATTGTTGTTGGCCAAGTTACTGAAGGGGGTGCGCACCCGAGGTTGTTGCACTGACCTTGCAGGGAAGCAGCCCAATCCGAATCGACGATGGGATGATGCGCGCGCTGCTGCTGCTCGTCGCAGCCGCCGGCGCGCAACCCTTGGAGAACGCGTCGCTGCGCGCCGGCGGCGACCACTTCTTGCTGGCCCAGGTGCGGCGCGCGCTCGGGTCGCCGGCGACGCCGCGGGCCCTCGCGTCGGCCCTCGTCGACGACCGCTTCGCCTACCTGCGCGACGCCGCGGACTACCGCTTCGCCGCGGAGGACGGCGCGGGCGTCGCGGCGGCCTTCGCGCCGGGCTTCGCGCCCCGGGCCGCCGTGCCCGTCGTCGACCTGCAGGCGTCCGCGTTCAACGCGTCGGCGCTCTGCGCGTTCCTCCGCGCGGGCGCGCCGGCGCTCGCGGCGCACGGTGGCGTCGAGGCCTTCGTGGTCCTGTCGCTGGGGTCCGCGGCCTTCGGGTCGCCCTTCCACCCGGGCGTGCTGCGCCGCGCGGCCGCGACGTGCGGCGCGGGCGAGCGCGACCTCGAGGATCTGCTGCTCGCGCCGAAGCTGCGGCGCTGGTTCGTATCGCAGCACTTCCCCGTCGTCAGGGCCGGCTCCGGCTCCCTCGACCGGCCCCGGGGCCGCGCGCCGGGCGACGCGGCCGTCGGCGACACGCGCGGGTCCGCGCGGTGGGTGCTCCACGCGAAGCTCTGTGTGGAAACCAAATCTTCAACCCGACTTCAATGTGAGCGTATTCGAATGTTTTGACACGAGCTCTTCGGCTGGGCTTCGAGAACTTGACGAGAGCGATCGATCCGTCCAAAAATCGGCCGAATCGACTTCGATTTGACCGAGCTAGAGAATTCTCAAGTTTGGTCAGGACCACCCAAACCAGTGGTTGAATTCCACACAGGCGAAGCTGCACCACGTGCCCCTCGGCGTGCCCCGCGTCTTCAGCCGGCGCCTGCAGCGCGAGAACGCCTGGCTCGAGGCCTGGGCGAACCCGGGGCCGCGGGACGGCGCGGTCTACGCGAACCACAAGCCCCGCGACTACCGGGAGGCCGTCGCGCGGACCGTCGCGCGGGGCCTCGGCGCGCCGCTCGCCAACGCGTACGTCGGCAAGGAGCGCGTCAAGCGGCGCGACGCCGGCGACACGCGCGCCTACGTCGCCGCCATGGTCCGCCACAAATTCGTGCTCTCGCCGCCGGGCTCGGGCGTCGACTGCTACCGCCACTGGGAGGCGATCCTGTGCGGCGCGATCCCCATCGTCGAGCACAACCCGCTCGTCGCCGACCTCCTCGCGGGCCTGCCCGTCCTGCTCGTCCGCGCCTGGGCCGAGGTCGACGCGCCGCGGCTCCGGGCCGAGTTCGCGCGCGCGAGCCGGACGACCTACGACCTCCGCAAGCTCACGACGGCGTTCTGGCGCGGCGAGCTCGACCGCGCGCGGGCGACGGACCACGGGCTGGTCGAAGTGGGGTAAGAGGGTCGTCGAAGAGAGGCATGCGTAGCCGCGCGCACCCACCTGTCGGCAACGAGCGCAAGGTAGTGCACGTTGACTCTAGTTTCGGTTATTTGAATGACTCCTGACCTTCTCTTTGCTCTTGGCGCCAATCGCGCAAAACCGCAAGCGGCGTCGTGACAGCGCCGCCGCGCTTGCCCGGAACCATGGAGGCGTACGACGTGGGCGCCTACCTCGGGCGCGGCGGCTTCGCGACCGTGTTCCGCGCCATCGAGCGGTCGAGCGGGCGCACGGTGGCGCTGAAGGTCGTGGACATGGCCGCGCTCGAGGCCGCGGGCGTCAGCGCGTCGCGGCTCGACCGCGAGGTGGCGCTGCACGCGCCGCTGCGCCACGCGCGCGTCGTCGAGTGCTACGGCGCCTTCGAGACGTCGTCGCCGCCCGGCGCGGCGTTCGCGGGCGACGACGAGGCGCCCGGCGGCCGCTACACGGTGCTCGTGCTCGAGTACTGCGGCGGCGGCGACCTGCGGGCCCTCGTCCGGCGCCTGGGCCGCCTGGAGGAGCCCGCCGCCGCGGCGCTCCTGCGCCAGGTCCTCGAGGGCGTCGCGTACCTCCACGCGGCCGGCGTCGCGCACCGCGACCTCAAGCTCAGCAACGTGCTCCTGGGCGAGGGCGGCGCGAAGATCTGCGACTTCGGCGTCGCCTGCGCGACGGGCGCCGGCGAGTGCCGCACGCTCTGCGGCACGCCCGACTACATCGCGCCCGAGGTCGTCGCGCGGCGCGAGCCGCAGACGGAGTCCGTCGACCTCTGGAGCCTCGGGTGCCTCGCGCACGCGCTCCTCACGGGCCGGCCCGCGCCCCAGGCCGCGGCGCCGCGGGCGGCCCTGGCGAACCGCGGCGCTGCGGAGGCCGTCGACGCGCGCGCGCACCTCGACCGGCGGCGCGCGTCGCCGGCGGCCGCGGCGTTCGTGCTCGACCTCCTGCGCGAGCGCCCCGGCGACCGGCCGTCGGCGCGCGAGGCCCTGGACAGCGCCTTCCTCCGCGCCGCGGGCACCTGGGCGACGCGGCCCTTCGCGGGCTGGGAGCGCGACGCCGCGCTCCGCGGCGCGGCGGCGCCGTCGCGCGCCGCGCGGCCCGCGCCGCTGGCCCTCGGCGCGCTCGCGGCCTTCCGCTGCGCGACGCGGCG